TAATTAATAATTACTTTGATTTGTTTGGCGGATTCTTCGGGATCCTTAGACCGACACTTTAGGTAGTTATGTAATTAATAGTTAGAGGGTTATATTTTCAATATTTGCATCATTACTACTTGTATTTATTTTGTATTGATTATGGTTGATCACAAAGTAAATTTGAAGGCCTTCGTATGTTTTTAGACGAAATGATTTATTATATATTTATTTATTTAAATTATTATTTTTGTCAAACAAATATTTTATTATGATCGAGTCAGAAATAATCAAAGGTACCAAAATAAATATATTAATTAAGTAGTCGGATTGATGGCTTTATTTATCTGATAACTAATTATGCATAGAGGGGTCAAAGTGCAATATTGACTTAGAGGTTATTTATTATTTAATTGGAATTCAATTAATTTCTTTTAGTGGAATAGAAATTAATTTATGAATTAATTGAATTGGGTCCATGGACCGGGCCAATTATTAATTCATTGTAGCCAATAAAATAATAAGCCCAAATGATTCTCACTCATAGCCCAACTTGATATTGGAATCCTATTAGATTTAAGACATGTGAATTAGAGATTGAGAATGATTTATTATTTCAATTTTTTTTTTTTTATCTTTATGTTGCCTATATATACATGGTCTATGTATATTTTAGAGTGATTTTGGATGAAAATGAAAAAGGAATATATTTTCTCTCTCTAAAAAATTAGGGTTAGTGTTCTTATTTAATGGAGGCTCCCACAAGCCTAGTTTTCCAAGGTCATTCATGGAGGCTTATGAGTGATTGCTAAAGGTAAAACAATTATCAAGAAGATGGAGATCCAAGGAGAAGGCATCTTACTAAGGGATTTACAATAAGTGAGAACATTCACTTTAGAGGAAAGATTTAAAGGTTTACTCAGATCTTTGATGTAAGTATTCAATCTATTAATTGAATGATACATCATATTTTATTTTTGCATAAAACTTGTCTTTATGTGATGAATCAAGATTTATGAATTAAAATCCCTCGAAAAGTTTTAAAACTTGCACGTTTCCCAACAGGTGGAATGCGAGGCCAAAGAAGGTAGAGCCTTGGAACCTCCCCCTTTTCCCTTCTAGTATGGGAATCTGAGTATTAGTTGATGGGAGGCTGGAATTTAAGGTACCGCCCTATGGAGAATAAAGGAAAAGGGGGGAGGTCGTGCATGGAAACATGTCTACCTCCCTCCCTTCTCCCTTCTTATCCTAAGGCCTATACCAAGGGGAGGAGATGCTTAGTAGTACTTGCACCCAAGGTCCGAGAAGATAGAAGTCACTTGGCGTATTAAATGTACTGAAATGACCTATGCACAGAATAATCGTTGTATCACCCGACCCAAGGCGCACGTTGCCTTGGGCCGCCCTCTTAACGTTCCATCAGTCAGGACAAATAATCGTTGTATCACCCGACCCAAGGCGCATGTTGCCTTGGGCCTCCCTCTTAAAGTTCCATCAGTCAGGAGGGGGTCCCTCCGCCCCCCGGTGCGACCAATAGTCAAGGGGAGGTTTCCCTCCTACGACCGGGGGGCATTATCAGTAACCAACTAGTATAAATAGGCATAAAAATCAGAAGTTAACGAGGAAGACAACAAGAATCATAAAGACCTACTACCGGACCTCGGGTTTGACTAGTACTGAGCAACTGCCTTCCTTCTCTTAATCTTCACATATGAAGAATCCTTGGTATAGCTTGAGTTCCCACTCAGACACTAACATCAACATTCCTAACCTATATGGAACGATCTCCTCGCCTCATCACCCAGCATCTATCAACAGAGGACAATGATTAGTGATATTTCATCTGAGTATTATTGTTGGAGTATTTTGATAAAAGTAATCAAAAGAAACTATTTTGGAGTATGGTGAGTATATTTTTCAAACTTACACTTGTGTTTCTTGAAAATTTTGAATATGAATTTTAGAAAAAACATATAAGATTGTTTGTGTGCATTGGAGGCCCTAGCCAATCTATATTCGTCAATGTGGAAACACATCTAACTCAAAATTTTGCATTCTATATATATATATATATATTGAACTCTCTGATTCGTATTAACCATTTTTATACAAAATATGACATGCATTTCTATTCTCAGACTTATAGATTATGAACCAATTTATTGTGAATAATAGCATGAAATTTATTTGGCATATCCTGCAGGAAGTAGAGGTGCATTTTTACCACGCCAGTAAATATGTCAACAGAGGTGTGAAATTTGTTATAAATGTTTAGGAGTTATTCCCAAAAACTGAATATATAATAAGTAATTAAAAAACAGAACACTTTATATGGATAAATTATAAATATACATAACACGATCGAAGCCATGAAAACAAAGTTAACTAGATCGAATTGCTTCTTAATTACAGTAGATAGAGAACTTTTTTTCTGGATCAATAGTATACAGAGACCTTTGCTAAATGAAGTACATGAAAAAAAAAATACATGGCTTAATAATAATTATAGCTGTAGCAATACTTATCAACAATAAAGCATATTAGGAGAAAAAAAACCCTAATTGTGACAAGGGTGCATGAATGGTGATATATAAACAATCACACGTATCCTAAAAAGACTGGTGCTAAATCCGTAAATTAATGACGCCTGTCCTTTTGTTTGGCCTTTGCTGTGAAAGAAAATTTCAAATCATTTGACAACCAAATGAAATTTCAAATCATTGTTAAATCCGTAAATTAATGAGGCCAGGCCTGTCCTTTTGTTTGGCCTTTGCTGTGAAATGAAATTTCAAACAATTTTGACGAGCAAATGACATTTCAAATCATTGATAACCATTCTGTCACATGGGTTTGAGCATATATGTACATACGCAACTTGTCAATAAATTTTACAATAGATCCAAACTGGTAAATGAAAATAAAGCTTAAAAAATGATGAAGATTGAGTTAATTTGTGAGTCACAATTTATTAAATAGAACATTTAATTTAAAACAGAGATATATCTACATATTTAAATACAATGGTGTCATGGGAAAGGCTAAAGCATTACTTGCCTTTCCCATTTAAACTTTTGGTATTGAAATACACAAGCATAGTACACTTAATTAATTAAAATGCAGTAATATATATATATATATATATATATATATATATATATATATATATATTTACCTTGAAGGTCCTTTGAGACGAGATTAATCCTAGAGGGGCAACAGTACGTCGACTCCCCAATGTGGACGCCACAGGACCACAGGTCACTCTTTCTCACTTTAAGGTTGTTACTAATTGTCTTTTATTTATTTTTTATTGCCTGAAAATTTTGAAGGACCGTTAAATTCGTTTTCTTTCATCAGCAAATCGAAACAAAGCCTAATAAATGGAGCATTACAAGTGATACTTTATTTATTTATTTATCACTTGTCTTTCTCTCATCACCGGTGTACATAAATAAATAATTAGGTAATAGTTAGTGTACACAGTATTCGAACCACCGACTTTTAATCTAACGGTATTTTTTTATATCTTTCAAAATAAAAAGGTGAGATTTTAAGCAAAAATAATAATAAAAAAAAGAATACAATCGGGACCATAATTTGCCAAGGTAAAATAAAAATAAAATTACAGGGACTGTCCGTAGCAAAATAGTTACCATTTTGCTTACTTTTTAAGATTTTTTTTTTTATTTTTATCTAATAATTGGGCATTAGAACTGGGAATAGATCAATAAATCAAAAATTAACCCTAGTCTCGATGGAAGGGACACCCCGGATTTCAGATCTAATGTACCAAGAAATTTATTATTATTTTTAATTCAATTATATAATATCTTGGGTTGTATATGAATATATAAATTTAGTCAAGAATCGGACTTAGTATGTCTAAATTTTTAATTTATTATTATTATTTTTTGATCATTGATAAGGAATTCACATATATTATTCACATATCCCTTTGTTTGGAAGTTTGAATTCTTACCATATATTTTGACTTAATTAATTTATCAAACTTGCACCCATTTGGGCCCCATACATTAATTAATTATTTAATTGTGCGTCTTCCCCACAACAAATGCTGTAGAAAAAAAATGGAGTGTTCCTCCTATGCCTAAAAAGTCAAAAAGGCATATACTACACTTCCTTCTCCAGTTTGGTATTAAATGATTATTCGACCCTTGCTCCACATAAATTTAAAGTAAGATGTGCCACAGCTCCAATGGATCAATACATACATATATATACACACACACACACACACACATACATACCACTTCACAGACCGAGCTTTATACCTATAACATATAGGCAAAGATGGTATATTTATATAAGAAAAATGATACATGCAAAAATAAACAAAGAAAAATCCCTTAGACTAAATGACGTAATGCCCTTCATATTTTAGTTATAATGAATTGAATCAAGAATAATAATATCGTTTATTTGGCAGATGTTTAATGTACTATTGATATTTGAATTTTTTTTTTTTTTTTATTGTCTTGTTTGTGAGTTGCATAATGTTCACTTATTACTCTTGTTATTTGGAAATTCAGCACATTTATCTCAAAATAACATGTGTTGCATTATTGAAATAATGGATGTTGCAATTTTGAAGTAAAAAGACATTTTGTTGCTCAACCAAGTATGGTAAAAGATTTTTGTATTGAAGAGAATTAAGTTTCAATTTATTTTTTATTTATTTATTTATTTTTTTGTATTGGCCCACAATACATGCACTAATCAGAAGTGCAATTCCAAAACAAGACTTCAAGGACTTACCTTCTGAATCCTGTCAACGCCGCTGTGCCACAATTTGGTTCCCAATTTAAAAGAGTTACATTTGTTTGATTTATCTCTTAAACCTTATGCATCAATTGATTTGAGACTGATTTATAGATTTTATGTAAGAAGTTTTTATATTCTAACAATTTATTTATCTAAATGTACAATTACCCAACTCTTGCTATGAATTGATGCCTCGTTGTATAAATCTACAGATTCAAATTACTTTCCCCAAAACAACAAAAGAGGTTGAAGGAACATATTCAAAGCAAAAGCTAAAATTCAGAAGTAAACCTTTTCTCTCACCACACTCAACCTTTTGCACCATCCACAAAGCAAAGGATCTCCCAGAATCACACTTCTTCAAGTTCAGCCATGGCTAACCCACCATTCACCATCCTCCTCACCTCCCAACCACACTCATGGAGTACTACACAAACACGGCTGTCATCGTTGTCGCCGCAATCGCACTCCTCCTCGCAGCAACTGTCATTCCAGGTATGCTAATTTATTAGTTGTCTTACTGTCAAACTCTGTATTATGACTCTTAATTATACGTGACTGAGCAATATTTCTGGTGTCATGTTGTATATGTAGGAGTTGAAGGAACAATTGGGGTCAACTATGGCACGGTGGCAAACAACCTCCCTCCACCGGCACAAGTGGCGAACTTCCTCCTCGAATCCACCGTCATCAACCGCGTGAGGCTCTTCGACGCCAACCCCGAAATGCTACAAGCCTTTGCTAACACTGGAATTGCCATTACTGTCAATGTCCCTAATGAACAAATTCCCCAACTCACCAAGATCAATTTTGCTCAACAATGGCTCAAAACCAACATTGTACCTCACATTCCAGCCACTAACATAGTCCGAATTCTTGTTGGCAATGAAGTACTTTCCACAGCCAATAAATTGCTAATCGCAAGCCTTGTCCCGGCAATGCAAACCCTCCACACAGCCTTGGTCGGAGAGTCTTTAGGCCGTCCAATCGAGGTCTCAACCCCTCATTCTCTAGGCATTCTCTCAACTTCAAGCCCACCGTCCACCGGAAAATTCCGACAAGGCTACGACACCCATGTCCTCAAACCACTCCTGAGCTTCCTGAGAGCAACCAATTCACCTTTCATGATTAACCCATACCCTTTTTTCGGCTGCTCGGCTGACACTATTGACTATGCCTTGTTTAGGCCTAACTCTGGAGTGTTTGATGAAAACACACACTTGACTTACACAAACATGTTAGATGGACAATTAGATGCAGTCTTCTCAGCATTGAAACTCCTTGGCTTCACTGACATTGAGATCGTCATAGCTGAAACCGGGTGGCCATCGATAGGTGATCCAGCACAGGTCGGTGTTGATGCAGACAACGCGGCACAATACAACAGAAAACTTATGCAACATGTGACATCGAATGTGGGCACACCCCTAATGCCTAACAGAACATTTGAAACGTACATTTTCGCACTTTTCAATGAAAATTTGAAGCCAGGGATGACTAGTGAAAGAAATTTCGGGCTGTTTGAGCCTGACATGACACCGGTCTACGACGTTGGGATCCTAAGGCCAACGGTAGCTGCTGCTGCCAATAATCACCATAATACATACATATTGATCATATTTATATATGTGTGTTTGATTTGTTTGTGATTAAACTTTGGCTCTGGCAGGCTAAAGCAAACTTCCCTTCGAACCCAACCCCATATTTTGCACCTGCAATGAGTCCATTGCCAGGATCTAAGAGAAAACAGTGGTGTCTTCCCAAAACAGGAGCTAGTGAAGAGGCTTTGCAGAATAATATTGATTATGTATGTGGGTTGGGATTGGACTGCAGACCGATTCAAGAAGGTGGCGCGTGCTTCCTTCCTGACAATGTTCGAGCCCATGCAGCGTATGCCATGAACGCGTTCTACCAAGCTACAGAGAAGGATGAGTACGATTGTGATTTTGAGCAAACTGGATCTGTTACTTCCATAGATCCAAGTACGTTGAGATTTTAATTAATTGGGTATTGAGATTCATATTGTAAGTAGTTTTGTTTGTGATAATCCTTGAAAATTTGCAGGTTATGGAAGATGCAAATATTGATACAAAAGGAGTTCTGAAAGGAAGAAAAGAAAGACCCCCATAGAGCATACAAGATTTATGCTACCTTTTGTAGTTTTAAGTTTTTAGTTGGTTTCCCTTTTGACAGTAGAATAAGTAAGTTATGAACTGTATTGCTAAATTATACGTGTGTGTGTGTTTGTGCGCTTTGGTAATCACATAAACTGATGATCTAGTTTGCTTTATCAAGCAGTCTCATGAACATTTAATCACATCTATACGTGAATCTGAAAACGATGGAACCAGTCAAGCAAATAACAGGAAAAGGCATGGAAGAAACTTTTGATCGAATTAAAAGAATGAATCTAGTTCCAGTTTTCAACTGGAACGTAAATGATACGAGTCTTCACTCTAAACATTAATTAAACAAAATTAAGAGGATGGAAGAAATTATATTTCTCCTCCTAACTCTACCATGAAAATACAAGGTGATGGTCAATCACCTTCTCTGATTTAGGCCAAAATCGTTTTATGAACATCAATTCTTCTAAAGCTCATCATGTGAATCATCATCCTCTGCACCAGCTCCAGCACCAGGAGGTCCACCAGACCTCTGATAAACAGCTGTGATGATTGGGTTGCAAACGGCCTCCACTTCTTTTAGCTTCTCCGTGTAATCCTCTTTCTCAGCGTTCTGATTGTCGTCCATCCACTCAAGGGCCTCTTTAACAGCTGTTTCTATCTTTTCCTTCTCGTCAGACTCTAATTTGTCTGCAAGCTTGTCCTTGTCATTGATCTGGTTCTTCATGTTATAAACGAAAGTCTCCAAGCTGTTTCGGGCATCAATCTTTTCCTTCATCTTCTTGTCTTCATCAGCAAACTCCTCAGCCTCCTTCACCATACGCTCAATCTCGTCCTGACTCAGTCGACCCTTGTCATTGGTGATAGTGATCTTCTCTGCTTTCCCGGAGGCCTTGTCTTCGGCCTTAACATTTAGAATACCGTTGGCATCAACCTCAAACGTGACTTCAATCTGAGGAGTTCCTCTATTCAAACAAACAAATCAATTCTAGCAAGCAAAACAATGACAAATTCGATTAAAAAAAAAAGTAAAACAATAGAAAAAAAACCTTGGAGCTGGAGCGATTCCAGTTAAATCGAATTTCCCAAGCAGCCTGCAGTCCTTTGTCAGGCTTCTTTCACCTTCAAACACCTGTAGACCACCACAAATTCGCAGCTAGCACTTTATTATGCTATAAAATTGGGCAAAGTCTATTTCTTCCCATTTGTGAAAAGAGAGAGACTGTCATTTAACTAAAAAAAAAAAAAAATGTACCTGAATGGTGACAGTTTGCTGGTGATCTTGGTAAGTAGTGAAAACTTGAGATTTCTTGGTTGGGATGACAGTGTTTCTAGGTATCAACTTGGTCATCACCCCGCCAACAGTTTCAATACCAAGAGTGAGAGGGGCCACATCCAAGAGAAGGATATCTGAATAAGAAAAATAAATTAAGGTAGCAAGTGAACTGAAATTTCAACCTAATTGCCCGATGTCTTCTATTCATCTAACCATGATAAATCATATGGAATAATTAAGAAGTAATACCTTTGGTTTCGTCACCACCCTCTCCACTCAAGATACCTCCTTGTACAGCAGCACCATAAGCAACTGCCTCATCTGGGTTCACACCCTTGTTGGGCTCCTTCCCATTAAAATAATCCTTTAGAAGCTGTTGAACCTTGGGAATCCTGGTGCTTCCGCCAACAAGAACAAGTTCATCAATTTTGCGCTTCTCCAATCCAGCATCCTCCATGGCCTTCTTAACAGGTCCCATTGTCTTTCTGAATAGATCATTGTTCAACTCTTCGAAACGTGCTCTGGTCAGTGGTTCAGAGAAATCCAAACCACTATAGAGAGATTCAATCTCCACACGGACCTGATGCTGGCTGCTCAAAGCTCTCTTGGCACGCTCACATTCTCTCCTCAGCTTCCCAAGAGCTCTATTGTCCTTGCTGATGTCCTTTCCATGCTTCTTTTTGATCAATTTGATGAAGTATTCCATGACTCTCTGATCAAAATCCTCACCTGCAGATAAAGTAAATCATCTTGTAACTCGTGTAGAATGCTACTTTATAGCAAGAGCTTCTACACCAAGCAAGCTTATTTTCCCAACAGTCCATGCAAATGGACTGTATTTGGAAGCAGAAACAAGACTATTTTTATGGTCAGTCCTTGAAGATGCTTTCAGTTAGAAGCTTATGGTCAACACACTCAAAAGTTATTGGCTACACATAAGAGTTTTCTCTTCAATCATTCCCTAACAGATGCTCTCAGATTTAAGAAAATGAAGTACCATATATATATGGAACCAAGGTCTCTGTCACTAAAGATGAGCACAGATCAAGAAGTAATTAAACTTCAAAGCTGGTTATAGTGTTTTATTGCACCAGAACACAAGTAACTAAACTACAGGCTACAGCAAAGAAAAAAAGGCCAAAATATATGGTAATCAATATACAGTCCTTACCTCCTAGATGAGTGTCCCCATTAGTCGCAAGAACCTCAAAAACGCCATTATCAATAGTCAAAATACTGACATCAAATGTCCCACCACCAAGGTCAAAGACAAGGATGTTCTTCTCACCACCTTTTTTGTCCAACCCATAGGCAATAGCTGCCGCAGTGGGTTCATTTATAATTCTTGCAACATTCAGTCCAGCAATGATGCCAGCATCCTTGGTAGCCTGCCTCTGGGCATCATTGAAGTAAGCTGTGCAATTCATGAAGGAAAAGAAGTTAATCTCAAGTTCTTAACAATCAAATCATCCATAAAATAAATAATCAGAAGACTTCACAATACCTGGAACAGTAACAACAGCATCCTTGATTTTCTTCCCAAGGAATGCTTCAGCCGTTTCCTTCATTTTAGTCAAAATCATAGCACTAACCTCCTCAGGACTAAAAACCTTGTTTTCCCCATCCTTAATCTTGACTTGAATATAAGGTTTTTTGTCCTTGTTCACAATCTTGTAAGGAACCAGCTTCATGTCTCTTTGAACTTCTTTGTCCTCAAATCTGTGCAAAAAGCAGGGTCAGAGTCGTAGTGTAAGTTTCCTCAACATAACATATGCACAATAGAGTGAAAAGGATAAATTACTTTCTTCCAATAAGACGTTTGACGTCAAAGATGGTTCTCTCAGCATTGGCAGCTGCCTGATTCTTTGCAGCTTCACCAATCAATCTCTCACCATCAGTGAAGCCGACCCATGATGGGGTGATACGGTTGCCTTGGTCATTGGCTACGATTTCTACATGCCCATTTTTGTAAACACCAACACATGAATAAGTTGTCCCAAGGTCAATCCCGATAACGGTACCCAACTTGGTGGCTTCCTCTTTCGCAACAGAAAATGCAAATAAACTTCCTGTTGCAGAATTAAATCATTAATACCAATTTACAAACCTATTCCAAAAAAAATCGTGCATGAGACAAGCATAGCAATGCACACCCCTTTCGTTGGCAGATAAACGATCAGATAATACAGTGGTTGCATCGTCTTTTAGAACAAAAAGTGCAAATCAACTTATTTTGAAAAATTAATAACATTAATACATTCATTCAAATGATTTTGAAAAATCATGCATGAGTCAAGCAGAGCAAGTTTGACCCGTTTTCTATGTCAGGCAAAAAGATCAGACAATACAATTATCCCCTTAAAAGCCTTTGACACAAATAATTTTAATACAAATCAAAAGAGCAGACAAAGTAGAAAACATAGGAGACATTCAATCTCAAACTAAGACCCATTTAGTAGCATGGTCCCTCCTTCAAGAAAAATGAACTCTCTTAATTAGTTTTATGCAGATGTTACCATGCATTATGCGTTTGAAAATCAATTCCTTTTTAAACCTCTGCTGTTATTTATATATAGCCAAATAAAACCAATACAACATGTTCCATCTAGACTTATGCTTTTAGATCACAATATAACAATATTCAGAGTATCAACCGCACACTTGAATTTCAGAATTCAATAATACATCATATATTGTGACCCAAAATTCTCACATTGGGGGTTTTCCTAATTGTCATTTATGAATGTAATTAGTTAACTCAAACATAGAATTCCCCTTCAATTCCTAAAACCATGTATAACTCAATGGCCATTGAGAATGCATTCACTAAAAGAAAGAACTTTATGCCATAGCCAAACAGAACACCAAGCCTTAAGGACACTGGACTTAAAGTCCAAAGCCAGAAACGCCCATTTTACTCAAAATCTCAGACAAGAAGCCCACAAAATAATAATAATAATAATAAATATAAATAAAAATCATCATATCATCTTTGGAGATCATAGCCTATGCTACAAAGATCTGTTCCTATTAACAAAGTTTTCTAAGAGATGTTATTACGCACACACATTATTGTAAATTTGTAATCCTTCTATTAGATTCATATTGAACGCCATTTTAACCAAATATAAACACCTTAATAAATCTCTCAAAGAACAAAATATACCAATTTCATTTTATAATCTCCCGAACACGCCGTTGACATAAATGTAATCAAGATCAATACATTCAACCAGATCAATAATAAATCTCATAATATAGTTTGTAGATATAAAATATACACGTGTGTGAATGTGAATATACACACACACACACAATGCAAGTGTACATAGTCTATATACATGATTAAAGAAGAAGATGAAGAAGAAAACAAGGTCGATCGAATAGGATATACGTACCGAACAAAACGATTGCTGAAACGACGAGAGACGCTCGTGCCCTCCAAGCACTTCCCATGGCGAGAATTTTACCTTCTGGTTCTCAAAACGGTCCTTGCGATTTGAGTCTCAGTTGAAGAAAATGTGCATCAAGTGTACGTATATGTATATATATACAACACACGCATGCATGTAAAGCAACGAGTGCGTGTCTCGCATTTTGTGGAGGCTCGGAACGTTGAAGGCTTCAACATGTCATACGTGATGACGCGGACCAATCATTTTTTTTAAGGACGGTAATTTTTGCCAATCAGATTGGATCTTTTGCTGGGGACATCCTGGCCGTTCGTTTTGGAGATCTTGGGCTATCCTTTGGGTCCACGTGGAACGCCTTTATTTCCCATAAAAGCAATTCTATTACTTTTACAAAAATAACCTCGTGCAAGCCATTTATTTCGAAAATACCAAAAAACAAATAAATTTACCTCCAGAATCTCACATAAAAGTTGTTTTTATATACCCAGTAAAATACACTATTATATTTGTTGCCCTAAATCACTATTATTATTATTATTATTATTTATATATGCATAAAAATATTATTTTTTTCCCGGTAATTTCATTCGAAAATTATTTTGGTTGCTCTTCATATGCATAACAATATTGATTTTTTCCCGGTAATTTCATTGGAACATTTTTTTGGTTGGTTTTTTTTTTTGTTATAAGTCATATATGGCGCTAAAACAACAAAATATAAATCGCAGAGTTTTTGTTTAGTATTCCTTTCACTAATAAAAAGTAGTATGACCTAAAAAAAGTGATGCTCACCATGCACAAAGAACTCTGAATTAACCTCAGGTCCTCAACTCTTTTAGTTGAGGAAAAAGTTTAATCAATCCTCTTCCACACAAATAGGCTTAAACAGGCTCACAAATACACAGATCAACCAGAAAAGAAAGGCATGGGATGAGATTTAACGCACTATCATCAATTCAGAGAAACAAATTTTAGTTCCAGTCTTTTACCGGAACGGAAAAATTACAAGTCTTCATTCGAAAAATTACTTAATTGCTCCATCTGTGTCTTCAAGAAACCAAGAAAATGAAAAGGAAAAAAAATATGTTTCTCCTCCTGCAACTAACTCTAATATGAAAATACAACAACTTCCTCCGCCAAAAGCTATTTATGAACATCTATTCTTCTAAAGCTCATCGTGCGAATCATCATCAGACTCTGATCCATCTGACCCACCACCAGGGGCACCACCAGACCTCTGATAAACAGAGGTAATGATTGGGTTGCATACAGCCTCCACCTCTTTCAGCTTCTCCTCGTAATCCTCCTTCTCGGCACTCTGATTGTCATCCAACCACTCGAGGGCCTCTTTAACAGCTGCGTCGATCTTATCCTTCTCGTCAGACTCTAATTTGTCTGCAAGCTTGTCCTTGTCATTGATCTGGTTCTTCATGTTATAAACATAAGTCTCCAGGCTGTTTCGGGCATCAATCTTCTCTTTAACCTTCTTGTCTTCCTCAGCAAACTCTTCAGCCTCCTGGACCATACGATCAATCTCCTCCTGACTCAGTCGACCCTTGTCATTGGTGATAGTGATCTTCTCAGCTTTTCCCGAGGCTTTGTCTTCAGCCTTGACATTTAGAATACCATTGGCATCAACTTCAAATGTGACTTCAATCTGGGGAGTTCCTCTGTTCAAACAACAAACAAGTCAGTTCAAGCAAGCAAAGCCAAACTACATTAATAGCTCTTGTATAGATTGAATAGAAGTAAAATAACGAACCTCGGAGCTGGAGCTATTCCAGTCAAATCAAATTGCCCAAGCAGCCTGCAGTCCTTTGTCATACTTCTTTCACCTTCAAAAACCTGCAGTGCAACACAAGTTCGCATCAGAAGAGAGGCAATCAGTCAATCCCAGATAGATGCTTGCTTGCATAGTTGATTATATTATAAAACAAGGCAAGTCTTTGTCTCGCCATTCGGAAAATGAGTGAATTTTTCATTTAACTAAAAAATTACAGTACCTGAATAGTGACAGTTGTCTGCTGATCCTGGTACGTGGTGAAAACTTGAGATTTCTTGGATGGGATGACTGTGTTTCTAGGAATCAACTTCGTCATCACCCCACCAACAGTTTCGATACCGAGTGTGAGCGGTTGCACATCCAAGAGAAGGATATCTGAAAAATATATATGAAATAAGGTAGTCAGCAAACTGAAAATATATTCTTCCAAGTTTTCTTCCTTCATTTAATCACGATAAGTCATATGGAATAATTTAGGAGTAGTAATACCTTTGGTTTCGTCGCCACCCTCTCCACTCAAGATGCCTCCTTGTACAGCAGCGCCGAAAGCAACTGCCTCATCTGGGTTCACACCCTTGTTGGGCTCCTTCCCATCGAAATAGTCCTTCAGAAGCTGTTGAACCTTGGGAATCCTGGTGCTTCCACCAACAAGAACAATTTCATCAATTTGGCGCTTCTCCAACCCAGCGTCTTCCATGGCCTTCTTAACAGGCCCCATTGTCTTTCTGAAGAGATCATTGTTCAACTCTTCGAAACGTGCTCTAGTCAGTGGTTCAGAGAAATCCACACCATCATACAGAGATTCAATCTCCACACGGACCTGATGCTGGCTACTCAAGGCTCTCTTCGCACGCTCACATTCTCTCCTCAGCTTCCCAAGAGCTCTATTGTCCTTGCTGATGTCCTTTCCATGCTTCTTCTTGATCAATTTAATAAAGTATTCCATGATTCTCTGATCAAAATCCTCACCTGCAGTGGAAGTAAACCATGAGAAAAAAAGTTTGTAGCTAGAATTTCTCCCCCAAGCAAACTAACTCTCTATCCACTCCATACAAATCATAGGCTATCATAACCATTTGGAAAAAAACTAGTATGTGAATAGACCCAATAACTACCAAAATCTGTTAGAGGCTGCTGGTCAATCTTCCAAGACTACAGATCAACCAGTAACAGATGCATTCAGATTTAAGAAAACAAAAAACCAAAACTACTTGGATTAGGGCCTCTTCTGCAAAAGATGAGGCCAGATCTATGAGAAATACAACTGCATTGTCCATCAAAGTTTCTGAAGCCTGTCACATTTTGAGCTACCTTTGGCATGGCTCATATTTTGTGCCAACAGATGATCTTTTTACCTTTTTTCTTTGCCCAAATAATTCTCTTAGAGATAGGGAAGTAATTTTAATAAAAAAGAAAAATAAAAGCTAATATGGTATCAAGTACAGTCCTCACCTCCCAGATGAGTGTCTCCATTCGTGGCAAGAACCTCAAAAACACCATTGTCAATAGTCAAAATACTGACGTCAAATGTCCCACCACCCAGGTCAAAGACAAGGATGTTCTTCTCACCACCTTTCTTGTCCAACCCGTAGGCAATAGCTGCCGCTGTGGGTTCATTTATAATTCTTGCAACATTCAGTCCAGCAATGATGCCAGCATCCTTGGTAGCCTGCCTCTGGGCATCGTTAAAGTAAGCTGTGCAATTCATGAGGAAAATAAGTAAAGCTTAACAATCAAATCATCCATAAAACAATTTTTCATTCACAGATATAATCAGAAGATTTTATAATACCTGGAACAGTAACAACAGCATCCTTGATCTTCTTTCCAAGGAATGCTTCAGCTGTTTCCTTCATTTTAGTCAAAATCATAGCACTAATCTCCTCAGGACTGAAAACCTTGGTCTCCCCGTCCTTAATCTCGACTTGTATATAAGGTTTTCCATCCTTATTAACAATCTTGTATGGAATATGCTTCATGTCCTTCTGGACCTCTTTATCATCAAATCTACAGAAACGCAAGGCCAGCGCTTTAATATAAATTATTTCTTTCAAATAATATAAGTAGAACAGAGAGTAGAGGATGAAAAATTACTTTCTTCCGATAAGACGTTTGACATCAAAGATGGTTCTCTCATGATTGACAGCTGCCTGATTCTTTGCAGCTTCGCCAATCAATCTCTCACTTTCAGTGAAGGCGACCCACGATGGGGTGATGCGGTTACCTTGGTCATTGGCTATGATTTCTACATGCCCATTCTTGTAAACACCAACACATGAATAAGTTGTCCCGAGATCAATCCCAATAACTGTACCCAACTTGTTGGCTTCTTCTTTTGCAATAGAAAATGCAAATAAACTTCCTGTTGAAGAATCAGTACCACATTAATATATTCATTCCAATGATAAAAATATCATGCTTTAGTCAAGCATAGCAATTGAACCCTTTCTGTTGGCGCATATATATATATATATATATATATATATATGTTAACAGGTATCATATTGATATCCATTAAGGATTTTCATACAAAAATAATATTGCAAATTAGACAAGTATAAACTGGAAAACCATATCAAAATAGCAAAAGATGTCATCCTATTCATATAGAAGATGTAATATAGTTTGATCAGTTCAAATAATTTATGTCTAATTAAGGCATCATTTAGTGTACTTGAAAGCTCTTCTACTTTGTTGTGCTTTGTTGATCTGTATCAACCCTTCTTCCGGGTTCCGGCCTTTTAATTCAAGACATCACAACCATTGCCATCAACACTAAAGATGGGTCTTACTAAAATCAGATTATAGAGGGTTGTGGATTGGCCAATTTTCAGTGATGGGATTGGAGGTATATTTATCACTGTTGGATCGTGATTTTCCAAATCGATCTAATCTCAACCAATAACCATTAATGTCTAAGTTTCCATGATGGAAAGGGAGACCTAAGGGACCCTTCTTCGTCCCATCGATTGAACCATTCTCAAAAGGGGTTAGAGCTCTCTATAGTTTGTTGTCCATGATCTGCGAAATTCACTATTCGTTATTAATCTGTTCTTGATTGCCTAAAAGATACTACACCATTGTTTGACAAATTAAAACAAATCTGTGCTAAATATGCATCAAAAGGTGAAGAACTGATCACTGGAAAACCACATCAAACGGAATGATTTAGTTTCCATTTGTATGACAACCGTCATACAGAGAGGAATCCGGATCCCCTCCAGTGGAGGAGCATCCCGTGCCTCGTATTGTATTACTAGTGCAACAGCCTCATGAAAAAAATAACACTATAAAATAGTAATGTAATGTAGGTGTTGCATAAAAGCATCTGAATTGTTGCATAATCGATCTAAAATTATTTCATAAACGATCTTAATTGTTGCATAATTGATGTAAAGTTGTTTCGTAAACGATCTGAATTGTTGCATAAGCGATGCAAAGGCACATGGTACAGAGAGAGAGAAGTGTTTGTCAGAAGATTTAAGTAATTAAGTTACAATTTCTAACCGTTTTCTTTTAAACTAAGTGGTAGTTAGCATGGAAAGTCTCAAGCTCAAACCTCACCATCATGAAAGATCAATAAATCTAACAAGATCTTTGAAAATATATGTGAATATAAGCATATGCAATGTATCTGCATATAAAAACAATCGGAGAAGAAGAAACAAAATCAGATTTGAATCTGAGAACAAGAAACACTTACCGAACAGAAGGATTGCTGAGACGACCAGAGAGGCTCGTGTTCTCGACGCGCCTACCATCGCCGGAGCTTTACTCTTTGCTTCTTCTTTGCTGCTCAAAAAGGTGTTTTGCTCTGCGATTTGAGTTTGAGTTGAAGAAAGATATTATGTGTAGAACTGTGTTTGTGTGTGTATATATAGCGATGAGTCCATCTTTCTCAGCGTGTGGGGTCTACAGATTGAAGGCTTTGAACTTAAGAAGTGTCACGGTTGATGACGTGGACCAATTGGATTGTTGTAGGACGGTAATGGACGTGTCAGAGTTGATGTCGTGGACCAATTGGATTATTTGAGGACTGTAATGGACGTGTCATAATTGATGACGTGGACCAATTGGATTGTTTGAGGACGGTAATGCCACCAATGAGATTGGATCGTATGTTGGGGGCATCTTGGCCGTCCGATTGAGAGATCTTTGCAAATTAGAACGTGAAGGTATGGTTACCTGTTTTGTCCTAAAGTTGACCGATCGACCAAAAACTACTTTATAGTTTATGCCGTGGATTTAATTAAATAAATAAATAAATAGAAGAAAATAAAAATTACTACTCCGAGTTACTACTATTTTTTAGTTTAAAAGATAAATATGTATTTTTAAAAAATATTATAAGGACTAAAAGCTCTCCTTGAAACAAATATTTCCAAAAGTAAGTTCAGAATCCCATTAAAAGTATTGTCCTTGTCTAGAAATGCTTTTAATGTTGCTTTCTTATTAAAATACTTTATAATTAATATCAATTTACAATTATAATAATGAAAAAGCACATAGTTTTAATTGTCACCAAAATTAGCAAAATTTTAAAATATTTAACATGTAATTTAAATTCAACTAATTGTAAAAATAAATATTAAAAACACCACATAGTTTTAATTGTCACCAAAATTAGCAAAATTTTAAAATACTTAACATGTAATTTAAATTCAACTAATTGTAAAAATAAATATTAAAAACCCCCACAATTTTGTATTTATATATATAATGTATTCATATACAATTAATGAATTATTAAATTCTCGCATTTTTTTTTTTTCTGTTGTATATTGTTTTAGAAATAAGTGATTTCAAGAATAAAAGGTAAGTTCAAGTAAATTTAAGTCTATGATAGTCACCATGCTTGATGCTGACAAAAGATCATTTTTTTATATGTTGTATTAAGGTAGTATAAATTTTTCTACAATTTTTTTTTTCTTATATATAGAAAAATGACAGTAATGGTATTTTTGTAGGAAGGGCAATATTGAAAGAAAACTAATGGTAATTGAATTATGAACTTAATTTGAAATATTTACTAAAAGTGGGATTTAATTGTACTTAAAAATTTAGAGAAGTTTTTTTTTATTATTTTTTTTATTGACAATAAATACATTCACAATCTCACTTCCACATACTCTTTTTTTGTCCACACTAATATTGAGAGAATATACCATTGAACTACATGCCCTTTGATAATTTTATAAAAATTAGTATTATAGATCATTATAATTGAAAAATAGAATTAATAAGTAATTTTTCAAATAGAAAATGTTAATGCTCACTTTGTATTCCATTATAATTTGGATTTAAGTTGGCCATTTCAAAAAAACACTTGAATAGTCTATTTAAAGCTTACATTGGTGGGGCATTTTTGGCAGCCCACAATTGTTCCAAACAGAAACAATGTTTTATTGTGAATGATGTTAATAGTATTGGAAACAATTTTAATTGGAAATGTGAAACGTGAAATTTGTTGCAATATTTTTTTTGATACAAAAGCATGTTCGATAAAAAAGTGTGCTAGTTTAAAAAATAAAATGACTAGTTTAAAAAGGTTATTAAAGATTGTTTTTTTTTTTTTTTTTTTTTTTTTTGATACTATTTGGTGTTTTCAATTTTGGCCATTTTTTTGGAACACGCCTACTATAGGGGCGGAGTTGGTTCATGCCCAGGGGCATTTATATATATATATATGTATATATGAAATTTTTGTTTATAATGCCCCCTAAAATTATTTTTATTTTCTAAATTTTCCTTTTTTATTTTCCTCTTTCTCTCTTTAAATTCCTTTAATTTCCTTTTTTTTTTTAAATAAAATTTTCCTTCTTCATCACGCTCTAATTATTTTTCTTTCTAAAGTTATATGTCATTTCTTCTTTCCTTTTTCTTCTTATTCTATTACCTAAAATTCTTTTTCTTCTTTATTTATTTATTTATGTTTTTTGCACTATGCCCTCCCTACATTTAAATCCTCGTTCTACCCTGCCTATTATTAAAAATGCAACAAATATTTTATCAAACACGTTTTGTGTTTTGCTTCACTACAATACACCAGGCGAGGAGTCAAAAATTAAATTCAGGGGGTGTCACAGTGTAAAATAAAATAAAATTAAATAATCACTACAATATAATATGTCAATCAATAAATTTAAGAAAGATAAATAAAATAAATAGTAAACAAAAAATTTAAAAAGGAAAGAAAAATGAGAGAATTTTGAAGAAAAAAAATTGGTGTTTGATTAAAAAGAAAATTTTGACTTTTTTTAAAAGAAATTAAACGAATTTAAAGAGTAAAAAAAAAATAAAATACAAAATTTAAGAGATAATTTTAGAAAATAAAAATTTTAGGGGGGGATAATATGAATTTTTTATATATATACATGTAAAATTTTATAAATTTAGTATATGTATTATAATAAACGGGGTCAAGCTAAGGACACGTGCTCTCTGGACATACATTGACTCCGCCCTTACAATACACCATCCGCAATAAAACCCTGAGCTGGGAAATATGACACCCCAAAATCATTAAATGAATGTTCAGGGTTTTCTTTTTCAGGAGAGTATGTACCTTCCAAAAATTATTTTCCATCCACCATTGAGCCACATAGAAACTGTCCGAACTCCAAGCATTGGTCATGGTCAATTCATCTCTCCTAGCAAATGCCTAATTAGCCCCCCTTCTAACGGCCAATAACTACTTTTTGTCATTGTTAGTTTGGAGCCAGGAAATAAAAATTAAGAAAGGGACCAACCAAGTTCTCTCTCCCTTCCCCCTCCCTCTTCCACTCCCCTCCTCCAATCAAAGCTCGTCGGAAAATGTCAAAGGCGGTGGTTTACACCCTTCTAGCCACCGCCTTGTTCCTCTTCATAGTCTTATCTAACAAACCAAACCATAAAAATCACAAGAATTATGGCCTAGGTCGCCGTTTGGGCTACAAAGTTCCTTCTCTACTTTTTGACCCTTTAGTCACTAAAATGGATAGGCTGGCCAAGGAAAATGGGTTAATTAGAGAGAGTTCGTCTGTTGAGAGGCAAACCAGCTCATTTCCCAGTCATGAACATCATAAGGATATCGATGAATTTCTCGGCCAAGAAGGGAGGTTAAACCTAACCTTAAGGTTGATGGTTTTGTTTCCATTATTGGACAAAGCACCAGAAGATGGATTGGTGGATTTTAAGGAGCTTGAAGATTGGATATCGCGACAACAGATCGATCACTTGAATTACAGAACACAGACGGAATTGGAATCGCGAGACAAGGATGGGGATGGAGCCATTTCCTTTACAGAGTATCTACCTCAGTTTTCCAAAGAAGATATTGGTACTTCGTACATTTAATTAATGTCACATTTGGTTGCCTAGAAAATGGTGGGAATGAAAATTTTGTTTTTGGAAATTGAATATTTGGGGTGATGAGTTTTTCTAAGCGTTTGAAATCCTTTTACTTTCTTCCCATTTTCTTGCCAACCAAATGGAGCTAGCAATGAAATATTTTCTCCAACAGGGTTATGACACAGAATGTGATTAATTCAGAGAGAAACGGAATGGAACACGGTGAGGCTGGATGGTGGATGGAGCAATTTAGGAATGCTGACGTTGATCGGAATGGAAATCTCAGCTTCAATGAGTTCCAAGAGTAAATTTGCTTTCTTTTTTTCACTTTTAGTTTTATTCAAGTACACTTCATTTCGTATAAGCCAAGTTAATTATATATATTGATACAAAACACATTTTCTTGCAGTTTCTTGCATCCAGAGGACAGTAAGAATGAAGAAATTCAGAAATGGTTGTTGAGAGAAAAGATAAAGCAAGTCACCTAACACTCTCTGCAATACAAGCCCTTTACAATGTTCATAACATGAGCTAAGAATTCTGTCGACCGCGTGGTTAATATCATTTTGTTCTTCGTGTATAGGCGAATGGACTTCGACAAGGATGGGAAACTCAATTTCTTGGAATTTAAAAATGAGATTTATAATTCCTACAAGACTTATTTTGAATTCGAAAATGGTGGAGTAAAGGCACCTAATCCTGAAGAAGCATTTGCTAAGCTTGATGTGAACAATGACAAGTACATATCCTTAATTCTCTGAAGTGTGTGTGTGTGTGTGTTCATCCAATATGTTGTAATATTATGGTGGTAAACTGTGTTGACAGATTCTTGGTAGCTGAAGAATTGAAACCCATACTCCACTATTTGAGCCCCGGAGAACTTGCCTATGCTAAATATTACACGATTCATCTAATTCATGAGGTGAGTTACAATTTCTGATATATATATATATATATATGATTGATTCGAGAAAGCTATTTAATTACTTGACATTATTGTGAGTAACTGAGTACGTACTGAAGGATATTCAGAAAATGAGTCTATATATACAGATGGTTAAGAAAAAAAATTAAGGGTATGTGATATAAATGAGTATGAAGTAGAAATTTCTGACTTGTGGCTTTGTTGAATGCAGGCTGACGAGAATCGAGATGGGAAACTAACGCTTGATGAAATGATTAATCACGAATACGTATTCTACAGAACAGTCTATGAGGGCAGCAGATATGATGACGACGATGATTACCACGATGAACTATGAAGCTTGCTTCAAATTCATCATTCAATCGCGATCTTGGACCGACTTCAAATCCAAGTTCTTCAAAACAAGACATGTTGTCAGTTCTGATCATGGTGACACGGTTGTTTCTGCAATCGCCAAGTTTTCACACTCAGCATTCCTACTTTTATCATCATGGAAACTTAGATTGCTCCATAATTTCTTAACACCAGCAGTTACTGAAGCCCAAGTTTTCACACCCAGCATTCCTACTTTTATCATCATGGAAACTTAGATTGCTCCATAATTTCTGAATGGAGGATGATATATAAGTTTTTTAGCTGTAGTTTAAAATGGATACTCTTCAACTTCAATTTTCAGCCAGCTAATTAGACATCATGTGCTTTCATTTGTGTCTATCCCAATTTCCTTTTCAAAGGTGCTTAATTTTTACTTCCACTAAGAAAAATGGTATATAGTCGGACAATCGAGACTAATAAGTAATGACATCATAACGGGACTTAGTCTTCATTCAAAGTGAAATGGTTGGATTAGTCCGATTATTGAAGTATATATCGTCCTAATTCACAGTTGACTGATGACGACATAATAAACTCCCGCTCCTATAGTGGATTAGTCTCGACTGTCGAATTTTGTATCACAAATCTCAAAGTATATAACCATTTTATGGGAAGATTGGCTTAGAGAATTTGTGTGTAACAAAAGAGTGATGTTGCATTAGGGTAAGATTGCAGAACCATGAGAGAGAGGTGATTGGATGGATGTGAAGTGGATTGGTTGTATACAGAGAAAAAGTGCAAGTGAAGACAAAAGAATGGACCGCCCACTTGGTTTGAGCCTAGTTTTTAATTACTCCTAAAGCTTCAAGCCCATCTAATCATCACACCTAAAACAAATACATAAAAAGCAAATTCTGCCAGGGATGTGAACAAATCTTTATGAGCAATGAGACAGCAATATCAATCTACTTTCTTTATAAAAATTGACAACTATATATATATATATCTACATGTTCTTCCAATTTATCTCTAGAATTGTATTAAAATGTGTCTTGACAATCTTCACTAGGTTGCTAGAAAAAAAAAAAATTTCTTGGACATGCAATCTTAATTGGTTTTTATTTTTTATTTAAAAAAAAAAAAAAATTCAACTTGTTCGAAACTGAGTATTCCACTATTAAAGAATTAAAATTTTATAAGACTTAAGGTCTATATGTTAATGTCGTTTAGCGCTTAACACAGAATACAGTCAGGGTTTATACAAATAAGCGTGTTTGTTTAGTATTTAAACTATTCCTTCTACCATTTTTATGATATAAAACTATTATAAATTAAAATGGAATGATTTGCTGTAAATTCAAACTTTCTTTTCATACACATTTTATTTTCATAATTCATTCACTTCATATTATTTTATTTAATCTTATTGCTAATTTTATCTACACAATTTTATATTTGTAATTGATTTACTTCTCAACAACATAAACTTATCTGAAAAGATTTTACATGTAATAGTTGGACAAAGCACATTAACTCCGTTTGTTTGGACGTAAAATACTTTTCAGAAAATATTTTTTTATTTTTTGGTGTTTAGTTGTCGTAAAATATTTACGAAGAAAAAAAAAATTTTAATCTAACAAAAATAATTTATCCATAAATTTTCAATAAGTTATTTTACACTCCCCGTCCGATGGATTCGACCTCAACCTCGACGTAAACCTTTGCCAAACACCGACAAAGTAAAAATATTTTTCAAAAAGAACAGAACCTAAGTTTTGATCATTTTTTATACAAACAAACGTTACAATATATTAACTATAGATTAAGGAGCTCAAATTAAAATAGTCGAGTGAAAATGGAATTGATACTGAATTATATCGAGGTACCATAATTATTTCTTGAATAAAACTTTTTCATACTTACTACACACATTTTATGTTTTGATTTTGATATTTTTATGATTTGACGTTAATATTTATTGTTAAATTGATATATTAATTTTTGGTAAAATTCATAGTTTTATAGATATGTTTATATTATATCATACTAATCCCACTAATTTCAACGATAAAAGGTAAGTACTAAAAAAAATAAAAATAGTTCTCTAAAAATCACATCTCACCATTAAACGGAATTTTGTTTTCTTTGAAAGAAAAAAAAAAAAAAAAGTGTTTCAAAATTGCATCCATCACTTAAAATATTAGAGTTGACATTGTCTAATCTTTTGAGTAGAAAAAGAAATTGCAGAAGTCCAAGAGGTGAAGATATCCTTATTTAGCCTTAGTAGACAATAAATAATCATTAAATTTGAAATGAGTCTTTAGAAGCAAGCATTTTTTTTCTTTCAGACTCTACATTCATTCAATGATTCAAAGCATTTATGTTCATGCGCCAGAGCTGATAACTGATATCTCAAAACCTAATAGCCATGATAAAATCTTTCAATTTGTTATCTCTTTATTGGTTTGTGATCAAATCAAAATGGGGTTATCATGTAATTATAGTGGTGGATTGATGTATTTGTTGTAACTTTACATATTAATTAGGGGCCTTTCATGCCTTTTTAACTTACCAAAAAAAAAAAAATTCGATGATAGCAATATTAAAGAAAACACTAAGAAAGCACAACTAATTTACAAAGAAAATATGAAATTTCATAAAATAATAGCGTGTTTTGTAGTGAATCTCCTCATTACGTTAATAATTTTTTTGTCATTATAGTAGAACTAGAAACAAGATATTGTGCGTCCTATCATGACACTAATATACTTGAATGTGTTTACAACTAGTTAGAATCTGAAAAATAAATAAAAGAAAAATAGATTATATTTTTTAATTTTAAATAGCATACATTTAGGAATGTATACAACAATTTAAATTGTGATTTATTAAATTTTTTATGGGTGAAGTGTTGTGCAAATCACATGATACCTTGAGTTGATCAAATGGATAAAAAAAAAAAAAAAAAAAAAAAAAAAAAAAAAAAAAAAAAAAGAAGATTTTATTCTTAATTTTTTTATTATTTTTGAGTCGATGCTTAGTATGTCAATAATGTAATTTTTAATTTCTTTTTCGCACTTAAACAAATAGGAAATATCAACTTTAGTATCAAGTAATTGATGCAATTTTCTAATACATTAATATTTTTTTCAAAGAAAACAAAAATCCTATTAGTGGGAGACGTGATTCCGAGATTTCTATTTTTATTTTTTTGATATTTACCTTTTATTGTTGTAATTAGTGGTATTGAAAAATATTAAATTTGAAAATTAAAAATAGCGATAGTGGTTTTGTATTAAAATGAAAGTATACATGTGTGGGTTTGGAATGTGACCATTAGATTCTATAAAAAGTACGGAATGATTTTCTTACTCTACGGAGAGTAAGAGATCACTACTCTTTTATATATATATATATATATATAATCTTTTATAACTATATTATGGGTAAAAGATAATTGTGGACAATGTAATATATATACCATTCAGATTTTCGCTCTTGTATTTAACAAACAATCTTAGTAAATTCAGCGCTTAAAAATAAGACAATATCAAACAAGTTTTCAAATTAGGACTGGATCTTCTAAGTTAAATATTATCTAAGTTGAATTTGCTATAAATTGACACGTGGCATTTAAAATTTATCTACTCGGATGTTAAACCACATAAACTAATTTAAAGAAAGTTTAAAAATTGTATCGTTTTGAGATAAAGAAAATTTATCAAAATTTAAAAACTGCACCGTTTTGAATTAAGGAAACTCTAACTACATTTTAACTTCGTAATCTCTCCCTCATCTCTTCCAAAAAAGATACTCCCTATCTCTCCTCTTCATTCTTATCTTAAACAAATCGCATTTGTTTCTCTTTTAACCTGACCAATGTTCTCAATATATAGGGCTTTTGATTGTATTTTCCTAAATCATTATTGTTGTCAGTAAAAGTTGCATGCCTTACAATTACATTTTCGTCCATTTTAATTCCATGGCAAAGAACATTCATTTTTGGCGCAAAATATTCCCCCAATGAAATGAGCAGGAGGAGAAAGAGGGATGATCTTTTATTGGAAAGGTTGAGGAAGAGATAACGACCTTTAGAGTATAGTGAATTTTCTTTAATTCAAAACGGTACAGTTTTTTAATTTTGGTAAATTCAGCTGTACATATTTTAAATGTTACGTTTCAATTTGTAGCGAATTCAACTTAGGATATTTTAAAGAATATTTAACTTAGAGGATCTAAGTTCCTCAAATTAATACATTCAACATGAGGATAAGGCCTTTCTTAGCTTGATTATTTTCTTAGCTTGATTATTGTAAGAGCAAGAGCGTTGTGTACGAGTTACCACGTATCGGTTCGATTTGCTCTAAACTTTAAACCTTAACCAATACGATTTCTACACATTGATGAAAATTAAAATTGATCCAATTTGATTCATTTGAAGCTATAATCCGATACAATTTAATTCATAATATATTGGATTGGATCCGATCTAATTAAATACGAATTTAATATTTGATGTTAATGATCAAACTAAATAAAATTTGATATTAAACTTTATTTATATAAACTATAAACAAATAGAGACAATGAAAATGGTATTTTTCTCTCGTCTTGAATAGGGGTGCAGACACTTGGAATTAGTAGTTTAAAGTATTTTGAAACTAAATTAGCTAATGATTATACAAAAGTTAAAACTAAGGTGAGCGGTGAAATTAATGAAATCAAATCAAATTTAATTGCGAAAAAACGGTTCAGTTTGATTTGATTTAAAAATTAAAATAAAATTTTATGATTCTATACACACACACATAGAGTAGAGTAGAGATACAAAAATGGATCAAAAATTTTTTAAGCCATACCAATAAATAGAGTTCAATAAGAATTCTAATTTATTTATTTTTATTTAAGTATTTATTTTAATAATTGTCATATCAGTTGATACAAAAATCGATCCGTAGTTATATTTTTTTCATATATTTATAATAATGTTTTCTATATAAAATTTGGTTCGATTTAATTTTGCAGGATGTTAAATTAGTGTCGAACCGCTTATAAACTATTATCAGATCAAATCATAACAACACCGGATCAAAACCGATTGATCAGTTCGGTCCAAATTGTTTACCGGTTCAACCGGATACATGATTCATATAGTAGACCCCGTAGACGGTAATGTGAACTTACGGTGGTACTGTCAGCATCTAATCCTTGTCATGAATTAAAAAAAAAAACACCGATGCAGATTTGTAATTCGAAGTCAAGCATTAGACATTCGACTCGTTTTCTCTCTCTACAACTCCTCTCTCTCTCCGCTCCTCCCCATCCGAGTGTGTAGTTTCTCGGGGTTTGCCGCGTTTCTCACTCCTCTTCTCCATCCGACTGAAGTATCTCGCTCATCAACACCGAACCTCAGGTAATTCTCTCGCCTCTTTCCTTCTTGCTCGTTTTCATCTAATTAGGTTCTCAAATACTGATTTTGATGTTCGATCTGTATTTGATTGATTCAATTTTTTCTCCAATACGTTAATCTGTTTTAACTTCTCAAATTTCGACATATATTTCACCCAAAATATATGGGTTGCCAACATTCGGCGGAATTTAAAATTGTGTATCAAAATTTCGAATATGTTGGATTTTGATGTGTTAATTGTGATTACTTATATAATTTCATCAGTAATGGTTATGGAAATTTAAACTGTTTAACTTCAGATTGGTCGGTTATGCGGAGGTTGCTTTTAGTAAAATTAGGGTTTTTACGGATAGGTTTGAGGTTCTACTGACAATTTATATTTTTAATTTTTTTTTTTTATTCGTATTGGTCGATTTAGCGGTTGTTGATCTTTATTTTGTTTAGTGTATACCGCTAAATTCAATTGTGATTTTGAAGTGTTTGGTAGGTTTTACTTCTATATATATGGTGAAAAGTTGGACTCTATTTTGATTGATTTGATGCACAGTTCACTATCTGTTCAGATCTATAGTAATTTGGTTTCATTAACTATTGTTTCGACTGGTATATCACTTTACCGTTTCCCCTGTTCGAAAGTTGTAATAGGAGCTCTTTCTTTTTTTATTTTGGTATCAGAGATCTTTCAGCTCTCTACTGTCGCTGCTTTATTATTGGTTGTATTTGTTTCTTCCCTGATTTAGTTTTACTCCGTTACTGTATTTATTTGGTCATGCATAAATTTTTGAATTAACAGTGCTCAGAGCGGTGGTGTAAAAAATGGTTGAAAGCAAAGCTAAAAAAAAAAAAAAAATGGTTTGATTTTTTAGGTTTAGATTTTCTTATTAATTAGGGTTGAGAAAGTTATAATGCCCTCTCTACATGGCCTTTAATTTGGGTTGCTTTTTATTGATCAGGAAATTCAAATTTTGTTCTCACATATCTTTTCAACAGTTCTCTCAGTAACCAAACTAAGTTTGACCATTTTGCCTTCTTTGTGCATTTTTTTTCTTATATATACACACATATTTTGGTCAGTTATTTATATGTATTGAGATTGGATAGCATGTGGCATTTTATTTTGTCTGATTTTATTTATTTATCTATTTGTTTCTTAATTTATATAAAATGTGTACTTATCAAAAAAAAATTTATATAAAATGTGATACACTTAGATCCTCCAAGATGGCAATGGAAGTCACCCAAGTTCTTTTGAATGCACAATCGGTGGATGGAACTGTACGGAAGCATGCGGAAGAAAGTTTAAGACAGTATCAGGAGCAAAATCTCCCTGGTTTCCTGTTATCTCTTTCTGGAGAGCTTGCTAATAATGAGAAGCCTGTAGATAGTCGTAAATTAGCAGGTTTGATCCTTAAGAATGCCTTAGATGCCAAGGAACAACGTAGAAAGTTTGAGCTTGTTCAAAGATGGTTGTCACTGGATGCGGAAGTGAAGACCCAGATAAAAACATGCTTGCTTCAGACCCTCTCTTCTCCTGTGCCTGATGCTCGGTCGACTGCATCACAAGTCATTGCAAAGGTAGCGGGTATTGAGCTGCCGCAGAAACAGTGGCCTGAGCTGATAGGATCACTCTTGTCAAACATTCACCAGCTTCCAGTTCATGTCAAGCAAGCCACTTTAGAAACATTGGGCTATTTGTGTGAAGAAGTTTCTCCAGATGTTGTAGAACAAGATCACGTTAATAAGATACTTACAGCCGTGGTTCAGGGTATGAATGCATCTGAAAGCAACAATGATGTTAGGCTTGCTGCTACCCGAGCATTGTATAATGCTCTTGGCTTTGCTCAAACAAATTTTAATAATGATATGGAGCGCGATTACATCATGCGAGTTGTGTGTGAGGCGACTCTATCACCAGAAGTGAAGATCCGGCAGGCAGCTTTTGAGTGTTTGGTCTCTATTTCTTCTACATACTATGAGAAATTAGCTCCTTACATGCAGGACATTTTTAACATCACTGCAAAGGCTGTAAGAGAAGATGAGGAGCCTGTTGCTCTTCAAGCGATTGAATTCTGGAGCTCTATCTGTGATGAGGAAATAGATATATTAGAAGATTATGGGGGTGATTTTACTGGGGACTCTGACATTCCTTGCTTTTATTTTATCAAGCAAGCTCTCCCTGCGCTTGTTCCCATGTTGTTGGAGACTCTTCTTAAGCAAGAAGAGGATCAAGATCAGGATGAAGGGGCATGGAATTTGGCTATGGCTGGTGGCACTTGCCTTGGTTTGGTTGCACGAACAGTTGGGGACGATATTGTCCCACTTGTTATGCCATTTATTGAAGAGAACATAACTAAACCTGATTGGAGGCAAAGGGAGGCAGCCACATATGCCTTTGGTTCCATCTTGGAGGGTCCTTCACCAGACAAGTTAACATCAATTGTTAATGTTGCTCTGAACTTCATGCTCACTGCCTTAACAAAGGACCCAAATAACCATGTGAAGGACACAACGGCATGGACCCTCGGAAGAATATTTGAATTTTTACATGGTTCAACTATGGAGACACCAATAATTACTCAGGCAAACTGCCAACAAATAATTACGGTTCTCCTCCAGAGCATGAAGGATGTTCCAAATGTTGCTGAGAAGGCCTGTGGTGCTCTGTATTTTCTTGCCCAAGGCTACGAGGATTTGGGCTCACCAACTCCCCTAACTCCTTACTTCCAAGAGATCGTTCAGTCACTTCTTACCGTTAGTCACAGAGAAGATGCTGGGGAGTCTCGATTAAGAACTGCTGCATATGAGACTTTGAATGAAGTGGTGAGGTGTTCAACGGATGAGACTACTCCCATGGTGTTGCAATTAGTTCCTGTCATTATGATGGAGCTTCATCAGACTCTCGAGACACAAAAGCTTTCATCTGACGAGAGAGAGAAGCAGATTGAATTACAAGGCCTTCTTTGTGGGTGCTTACAGGTCATCATTCAGAAGCTTGGGTCATCAGAGCCAACTAAGTATGTCTTCATGCAGTATATGGATCAGATTATGGGTCTCTTCCTCAGGGTTTTTGCTTGCAGAAGTGCTACCGTGCATGAGGAGGCAATGCTTGCTATTGGAGCCCTTGCCTATGCAACTGGCCCAGACTTTGCAAAATACATGCCAGAGTTCTATAAGTATTTGGAAATGGGTCTTCAGAATTTTGAGGAGTACCAAGTCTGTGCTGTCACAGTTGGTGTCGTGGGGGATTTATGCAGGGCATTGGAGGATAAGATTTTACCTTACTGTGATGGGATTATGACACAGCTCCTTAAAGATTTGTCAAGCAACCAGTTGCACCGATCAGTGAAACCTCCTATCTTTTCATGCTTTGGTGATATAGCACTAGCAATAGGAGAGCATTTTGAGAAGTATTTGATGTATGCTATGCCTATGCTTCAGAGTGCGGCAGAGTTATCGACACAAACAACGGGTGCTGATGATGAAATGACCGAGTACACCAACCTTTTGAGAAATGGGATATTGGAGGCATATTCAGGGATATTTCAAGGCTTTAAGAACTCTCCTAAAACCCAGTTGTTGATTCCTTACGCACCTCACATCCTCCAGTTCCTGGATAGCATGTACATGGAGAAAGACATGTTAGTTCCTAGTTCCTACTGCTTTTCATACTTGTAGCTGTAGTGCGAAGTTTGAATATCTTTTATTTATCTAATTCCTAACTTCTTTTAGCTAATATCTGACTTGTTTTATTTTAATCTAATTCACTATCAGGGATGATGTTGTGATGAAAACTGCCATTGGGGTTCTTGGAGATTTGGCAGATACTCTGGGAAGTAATGCAGGTTCTTTGATTCAGCAATCTCTGTCGAGCAAGGACTTCTTAAATGAGTGCTTGTCCTCAGATGACCATTTTATCAAGGAATCTGCTGAATGGGCCAAGTTGGCCATTAGCCGTGCCATCTCTGTTTGAGGCTGCCATCACTTGGTATATATTTTTCCTTTTAGAAGTCCCTGCATGCATATGGGTGCGTCGAGTTGAGGTCTGGGTTGCATTCACTGAGTCAGGTCATCGCCATTGTCCGACAACAGAAGTGATTGATTCTTCTAGTTGTCACTAACTCTTGCATTAGCACCATGGGGTTGGGTTATTTCTTTTGTCACAGAGAAAGCGGCTACTGATTGATTATCAAAAATGGGTGAAGGACTTGCTTGAAAAACACAATAACAGTGTCATTGGTTATGATGGAGGATTTGGGATAAAGAGGAGATGTCGCTGTGATATGCTGACTGGGCATAACTTTGGCTGCTGGATCATGGGTTCTTCATTGGTCCTTGTTTGATGGCTGATATCTCATTTTATGAGAAATGTACCCCATACCTCCTGGTGGCGCCATGTTCTCCAAGTGGGTTGAAGTGTCCAAATGGATATCAACAAAGAGTTTGTTCGGGTGCCTCACAGTTTAAAACCGCCCCAGTGCTGTTTTCTTGCGTCTTTTATGTTTTCATTTTCCATACCTTTTCACCATCATTTTATTTTTTTTGGGTTAATATATGTCCTGCATTGTTTCAAGTGATAGGTGTCTTGTCTATTACAGCAGGGTTGCATTTCATTTCATTACTTTTTCTGTATACTCATGGGTTTGGAATTTACCCACAATTGAGCATATTACATCCTGCATTTTTTTTTTTTTTTTGCCAGTTGTTAACAGAGCAGGTGTTCCATAGGTCAATGTTAATACAACTCATTCATGATTTATGTGTGCTGCCTTTTTCTTGCTGTCAAGTATAGGTTTTCTATCATGCTTTTGGATTGTGTAATTCATATTTTGGTTCTCTATTTGTGGAGATTTCTACATTGAAATGTAATTTGTGATGACAGTGATAGACTGAGAAGACGATAAAAATCTCACTTCTTTTGAGGCAGTGTATCTGCAGTCGTCTTCTTTTTGGTGTGTGTGGTTTCGAAGGATATACTTGCATCCTATGGATTTTTGTTTTTTTTTTTTTTTTGTTTTTAATCCGGATTTTCTTGTATCATGCCATTTCCCGGTCCATTTCTTTTAGTTAAGCTTCTTTTGGTGCAATCATTTAACCGCCCTGCCCATTCATGGTGTGGAGCCTAGCGAACAGGTACTGGGTAAAGTACAGGGAATATGGTTCCCCCACCCAATGAGGAATTCTCATTCCCTATTATCAAAAGAAATTGGGAGTTTTTATTTGCTCATAACACTTTCGTGTGTGTTTTTTTCTTTTCTTTTTCATTAGTGAGAGAAACACAGTTATTTGAGAACACGGAGTGTTACATTACAGGAAGTGGAAGGGAAGTAAAATGTTTGTACAGTAATTTGGTAAGAGAATGTGGGATTCATAGTTTAGGGAAATATTGGTGTTAAAAGGTTAAGTTTTGAATTGGTCTATTCCTCACTAGGCACTTTGAATGGGCGATTAATAGTGTCAAGACACTAATAAAATATAGTAATAATGAAGTAGATGAAATGTAGATATTTCAATAAATGTTTAAATTCAATAAAACGATTGACCAAACTCGGATATCATGTGACAACTTACTGATTCGATCATCAATGTTCAATTACACATTATGCTTATTTTCAATACTTTGTGACGCAACAAAAAGACATTTCAATCCAAAGGCCATTCACAATAATAGTGCAAAAACTGAGCTTGTAAAGTGATCTGGGAAACAAAAACATAGGAAAGAAACTAAGAACCAAAATCCTTCCCAAGTCTATAAATTATGTTACGAAAATTAATGGAACCAACACTATTTAAGTAGGGAGTCAATTACGTCACCGACAAGTACCAACCCTGCTTGACCATACAAGCCATGTTCCGTTCTTCACCAGCAATGCCTACCCCCTGTTAAAATTTCAAAATTTCGTTCATCTCATCTCATCCTAATTATATGCACGCCTATGATATTATAATCATAAATATAATTAGGGTAAATTACAATGACCTCCTCTAATGTTTGAAAAAATTAACACGGTAGATCATTTAACTTGTTTTACTTTGACCTCCCATGAGTTTTGGCGGATGTGCTCAACAAAATCCCTAATTTTTTTTTATTTTCTTTTATTTTTCAGTTGACTTGATGACTAAATTTTATAAATTGATAATTTTGCCCTTCTCTTATATGAAAATCTTATCCTTCCTTTGTATAAAAATAAGCACATTATTAACTTTTCATATTCAAAGTCACCTTCTAGTTGTCGACAATTTTATTTAGAAAATGTCAGAGTAATAAACACTAAACGATCTCTATCTAATTATATTTGCCCTCCTTAAAATAGGTCTACCCCCATAATTAATATGAACAGTCACATACCATTGCTCCACCCGTTGCTTAGTTCTTTTAGCCCCACTTTGGTTGGAGGATGATGGAAGGAATAAAAACGGAGAGGTAATGGAAGGAAATGAAATATGATGTTTGGTATACATCTTTAAAGAAAAAGAAAGGAAACCGAAGGATTTGCGAGGATACAATTCAAGCATCCCAAAAGTAGGAGGAAATGAAAAGAAATAAAAGAAAAGGAAAGACAATCATTTATAATAAAAAAATTATTAATATAAATTTTGTTCTTATTTTTATAAAAGGCAAAATCTATAAAAACGGGTATGATAATAAACTCATTAAAATAGTTTCATTTTCTTTCTTTATCCTAAACATGCTATCATTTTTTTCTTAATCAACCAAACACACTAAGAATATCTCCAATCGTTGTGTATAATTTTTTGTGTAAATATGATGTGTTATGATGGATTTATACAAAAAATTTGAATTATTTAATTTTAGCTCCAATACTCTTTGTGTAAAAATATATCTTCCAATAACAATCAACCATGTGTCATGCCAGAATTCACATAACTTTTACAAACCTACTTAATATATGGTTGATTCTTTAATGAAATGAGAAAGAATGATGAGAAAGGAAATATGTCGATTTGGCAGTCTAAAAAGGTTATGTAAAATACGAAAAAATTTGCAAATCATAGGTGATAGTGTATATTTTACACAAAATAATATTTTAATATATCGTTGGAGATGCCCTAATAGTTAACTCCTCTCATTCTATTTCTTTTCTTTTCTCTCTTAATCAATTAATATAGCGAAGGTTATATTAATTAAACTGTGAATTCAAGTGGTACATTAATTAATTATAACAATATGGGGAATATAGTACTATATATCAAGCACAAATCCTTAATTAATTAATATAGGGAATTTAGTACTATATTAATTAATTATAACCAACCTTAAGGGAATAGCTGCGCAACGACTTTCACATGTGTCTAATGAATTCAAGTTTGAAATCATAAAAGTGCATGTAAATTGTTCTTTTCATAAACTTCTTCATTGTTTGATGGATTAATGCTTATTAATGAGTTACCGTTGAAAAATACTGTGTCTTTGAATTGCCATACAAAAGAAAGAATAAATTTATAGATTATGTTTGAAAAAACAGATTAGTACTTTAATGAATTACAAATTACACATTCATTTATTCTAAAATGAATTGGATTCTCTATTCATTTATTTCAAAACATGCTTTGACTTTGGCACCAGCAGCCATTGCCGACCATCCTACGTGGCCACCAACCATTAATTATCTGCCACGCTTTCATACCACCCCCATTCTTGACCCATTAAAAGACACAATTAAGTACAAATTACAAATAATTATTATTATTCGTTATATCTTCTTTTCCATTTGATTCTGGAATCTGGATTCACAGCGCTCAACGTCCTAAACTTTCTCTCTCTAAAAATCTTCCGGGAAAAAGAAAAGAAAAAACTCTGTCTCTCTAAAAGCTGTGTCTTCGTTTCTCTAGATTTCAAGGAGGAGAGATGCCGTTCTGTGACGTCGGCACATACCAGAACGGTGGAGATGCAGTGGGGAGCAGCAATGGAATCAAGATTTTCTACAGAACATACGGCCGCGGACCAATCAAAGTCCTGATGATCATCGGTTCGCTATCACTACCTGTTCTATTGTTTTCTGAATTGGGTTTTGGTTTGACTCTTCTGGGTCATTGCTAATTGTGTGATTGATGATCAGGATTGGCTGGGACTCACGATTCATGGGGTCCCCAAATCAAGGGGCTGACCGGGACGGTGACGCCCAATGATGATGAACTGACGGCAGTGGATCAGAACCCAGCTGAAGTTGGAGCTGCCGGAGACAATGAGGGTGGTGTAGAGGTCTGTGCTTTCGACAATCGTGGAATGGGTCGTAGCTCTATACCCACCAAAAAATCAGAATATACGTGAGTCTCGTTATTATGGTATATTTTTCACTTGATTTGTTTATTTATGATTGCATTTCTTGGGTATCGAATTGAATTCCCATTTTTCATATAAAAATATTTAAAGAGATCGTATATTGTTAATCTTCTTGCTACTTTTGGTTGCTGAGAAATTGTGTGGGGAAATAGTGTGAATTTTTGTATTCCGGAATTTATTTTAAGTTATAAGTAGGACTGGAAGATACAGACGTCTGTCCTTGACAGAGTCTAATACAGCTATAAGGATCAATTGAGGATTGAGGAGAGGTTTTAACTTGCTTGATAATGAAAATAACATGAAATTCTGAAGATTAAAGTTACTTTGTTTTCTTTTCCTCATGTTTGTCATCTACCAAACAGAAGATACTGTTATGGAAGATATTGAACTTGTAATTGTTTTCTATGTTCATTGCAGAACATGTATCATGGCAAAAGATGCAATAGCTGTAATGGATCACCTGGGTTGGAGAAAAGCCCATGTTTTGGGGCATTCAATGGGTAAGTCCATGACTTAGACCTTTCATTTTTGACAAATTTAACTTGGTTTCGCCCCAATAAAGCTCTAAATTTACTCCTTAATCTAAATTCAAAAATAATATTCTTCATAGTTATATGAATGCATGTTTATCTTGCTATGGAGCAATCTGTTGTACCGTTTCAGATTTATCGCTAACGAAATTGAAAATAAATATGTATTTATATTTATCTATAATGCATTCATAAATATGTATTTATAAATGATGTAGTGAAGTATGATAAAACTAGATATGAAGTTCTTCTATCCAGTTAAGTAATTTTCAGCAAAGCAAATAGCATGCCAAGGGATTTTAGGCCTTGCCAATCATTGACAGTTTAATTTCATTGATGGAATGCTTATCATTATATTTTTTCTGATAAGTAAATGCTTATCATTATGTTAGCTCCCAAACGGCTCAATTCCAAATGTGAAGGACAGTTCATAGTTTGAAACTGAAGACTGGAGCATCTTAGCTGACACCGGAGAGAAATCCCTAGTTTCAAAACTGTTGAAGCACACATGGACACACTTTAAAGTGATTTGTAGCCAAAAGGGGAAAAACATTAATGTGATTTATGAATTAAAGAAAAGAAATTATTTGTGGTTCTTTGCCCATCTGAGAGCACAAAAAGATGAGACAAACCATTTCCTGTGTAAGTCATCCATGGAAAATGAGAAACATCATCATCATCCTTGTCTTAATCCCATGTGAATGGGGTCGGCCAGGAAAATGAGAAACAAGATCAACAATTTAAACTTGTCACATTGGGGATTGGATAACAATTCATCAAATTGTATCGTATGAGATGAATGAACTCTAGCAGAAATCTCCATTAGAAACCAGGTTTGTGGCCTTAAGCATTGGAGAGAGGTAAACGCACTTTCTCTCTCCTTAAGTAGGATTATATCCTTATAATCACTGTCAAATAATAGGAAAAAGAAAAACCGACAATAAAGGCGAAATAAATGAAAATGACGGAACATCCCAAAAATGGCCCATGACAATGAGTTGTACAAGAGTCCATTAATGCTATTTTCTTGATGAAACAAAATGTTTCAGGCTATTTTTCTTGAAGCTAGATTAATAACAATGATTGCACCAATATTATTTGTCGTGTGCACTTGCTGTTTTACCATGTCAAACACATGGATTGTAAGGCACCTACTGATGAGGCCTTAATTCAGTGGGAATCAATCCTTATAAACCCAATGGTGGGATGGCACTAAGTGGGATCCAAAAGTTATGGTCTTGCTGTGCCTTGTGAATTTCATTGCTTACTTACATTTACTTGCAATGGGATGTATATATATATATAGATGGTACGTAATTTGCTTATTTTAAAATTTGACAAAAAGAATCCTTATTTAGGTTTATGTTCAATGATAAGCTTATTCTAACTTAATACAACCACCCTTTTAAGATACACTAGACTTTGGCTGTAAGTTGACCCGAAGAATTTATTAACCTTATCAATTGTAAAAATGCTGATTCTAGGTTTTATGAAATTGAAAATGAGTGAGACAAGTTCACTCTACTACAGGCCAAATGTTTATTATGTTTCGTTTAGGTCAATTATTCTTTAGTTTTCATATCTCTTTTCTATCTTAACAGGAGCTATGATAGCTTGCAAATTGGCAGCAATTGCACCAGATAGAATTCTGTCATTGGCTTTACTGAATGTTACTGGTGGTGGTTATCAGTGTTTTCCAAAGGTATCATTTCTTTTGAGAAGTGTCACAGCTGATTGTGTACCATATATAAAAAATGATCATAAATTTTAGTTCTATCAAAAGAAAATAGTTTACATGATCTTCCTTCTATTAAAAAGCCCTTAAAGTTCTAGTCCACGAGATCAAAGATTTTAAGCACATATTTGTTTGCAATGTTACATGGACTCGGGTACGCATATGTATCCACGCGTCAGATGTGTCAAATCCCCAAATAGGACATAGAGACACTGCTAAATATTTATTTTATTTTATAGAGTAAAATAATATTTTTATGTTGCATAGTAACCAATATAGGCAGTTAACTCATTTAAACTAATAATATAGTATAATGGAATTATTGGATATGTTTTTTAGGAGCATGTCCAACCAAAAGTGTCGGACACATATCCCCTACCCAAGTCCGAATAATATGTGTCGGTGCGGGTACTTCACCTACTTTGGAAGAGTCCATGTAACATAGCTTGTTTGAATGGATCTAGCATAGAACTTTATCATTATCAGTTCACTAAGCATGAAAATGAACTGTAATAATTTGTTTGTTAGGTAAAGGGGAGGATATATAGAGTTTCTGACTTTCTATGGTTGATAAGCGTAAAAGGAAAGGGAAATAAAGAGTGGGATCCTTTCCTCCCAAATGTGACGCTGAAAGGAAAAGGAAGGATCTCCCTATTTTATGGTGTTTTTTTTTTTTTTTGGTGGTTGTTGGGGGGGGGGGGGGGGGGGGGGGTGTTGGGGCGCGGCAAAGCACTACTTCGTTGAATGTTTGAACATGTATGCAAGCTTCAAGTTAGAAACGAATACAAAATTCTTTACACTTCTAAGATGGTTATAGTATTAAATTTCCTATGCCTTGGGAGGTACAAGTGAATTTAGTCGTGATACACCCTTATAGTCATGACAAAAAGAGGAATTACTACCAGTGGATTGGAAAAAACTGCTCCCCTAGACACTCAAGATTCCTTTGGTGTAGTTGGCATCGCCTTGTCTAGCTTGATTACCAACCACGACCATAGGTCCTAGGCTGGAAATTGACACTGCTAAAGGTATTCTGGATGGCTGGCTTCTAATTAAAATGTGTCTGATTGCCTAGATTGTATGTTTAATTTCAAATATTTGTTTCCCAGTAAGTATAGTGCGTTTAGTTTCACTAATTTTTTAGTACTCTGGTTGGACATTGGGTGAATTTGAAGCAGTAAAATTTACATTTCTATTGACATGGTCCAAATTGATTTGATCATTCTAACTCTTTACCTTGTTGACTTATTGGTTTGAGCCTGTGAATTGTTTCAGTCCTTATCATTTGCCTTTTATGATTTATCCAGTCGTAAAATGAACTTATACCAACCAACAAAATATTATAGCAACTTCATATGACTAAAGAGTGAACAATCTTCTTCAAATACATATTGCTTGAGTGCAATATTTTATAAATAATGTGAAATCTAAATTAGTTCCATGTGTTTACATTATGTCATCTTGTGAATATGAATTATTAAGAACTAAAGTTTTTTGTCCATTATTAAAATCTATTACTTATTCAAATTATAGCATTTTTACGTGTTCCAGTGTGCGTATACATGTATATGCTCTAAACGTGAAAATAGATGAAATTGTTTACTTATAGGAGATCTATAATTTAACCTGAGAGATTATTTCTTAGTTTCATCTAGTAATTACTGACTTAATTAGTTTTAGGAAATAGCACCGTCTTTGCTAGTTCTGGATATTAGTTGACACTATCTTATTTCACTGAACAATAGTTGCTCATGCTCATGCTTCAGCCCATGAAATAAGGCAATTGCCAGGAGAAAGAACAATTATTGCAGCAAAACGTATCAGAAGAGCAAAATTAATTAGTCACATTTATCAGTTCCACACTGAAAACATATGAGTTGCCAAAGAAATATGTATCTTTTCAAATTCTCATACCTTTACTTTTATGGTCTGTTTGGTATGAGGTATGCAAAAATGAAAGAAATGGGGCATGAAAAGGTTGGTCTTGTTTTGGCTTTTATACCTTACATTGTAAAGGATTGACTGAGGCCATGACCATAGAGCAGAATGGAAACATATGATTCATGAAAAATCGACCCCAACTAGTTTGGAAAAAGACTTTGGTTGATGTTGTGGTTGTAACTTACAATGTAAAAGAATTATGCAAAGGAGAAAGACGCAAGTTTAATTGTTATTAACATATGCAAGGTGTTTATCAGAAGAAATATATATATGCAAGGTGTTGTCAGTGTCTAATAGTGTACACGAGGTCTTCCCATGAACACGAGTATCTTATAGTCGCGGAAATTTCCTGTTCTGGAAATGCTCCTAATTTGTAAGTTTTGTAAGCCATTTGATTTCTGTATGACGATTAAGGATGATCTAAGGAATGAAAATTTTAAGTCTGATGGTTTAACATGTTTCCCAACCACCATTTCCTCATAGCTTTTGGAGTTCTCACTTGCTTTAAATTAATTTCTCCTTGGTTCTGTATTGCAGATAATTTTTGGGTTACGCAGAGTTACAGAACTGTCTTTTCTGTTAAAAAAAGCACGAACATTTTCTTAATTTTAAAATTGATTCCAGTATTATTTTCGCAGCTTGACCGTCAAACTTTATCAATAGCAATCCGTTTCTTGAAGGCAAAGACTCCTGAGCAGAGGGCAGCTGTTGACTTGGACACCCACTATACAAAGGTCAATATTTTTTCATCTTGTCTATTATTTTTCTGTTTTATCTGCCATTACAGATGATTAAATGATTAATGAGAGAAACCTTTTTGATAAAGGAAACAGTTAGAAATTTTTTTCTTTTTCTTGTTCTTTTCCTGTGGCTGTCTTATTTATAATAGAAGCTCCTTGCAGGTTTGTGTGTTTGTTTCATATTTTCTCCTTATTTAAATGATCAAAAGGTGCAGGGATGTGGGATGATTGTTTGGCAATGGGTAATTTAGATTAGAATTGTTTCCAACTTTATATAGAAACAGTGATCTTTTTGTGCGTTGCAAGTATATAGAAAATAACTTTTGACATTAAAACGGTTCATATCCATTTTCCTCATTCTAAATATCTTAACAAACTTAATCATCCATCAATTATACATGATTAACATGTAACATAAGATCATAATTGCAATTTTTTTAGTGGCTGCATGATAACTTATAGGATTTCACGTCATATCTACTGTGCAGGAATATCTCGAGGAATATGTTGGACCTAACACAAGAAGAGCAATTTTATATCAAGTAAGGATACTGAGCTGGACAAACTTTAATATTTTTCCTATAAAATCACATATTGAGTTTTGACATGTTGAGTTTTTGTTGCATTCTGGTTTTCAGTACATCCTTATTTGAAACACATTTTGCAGGAGTATGTGAAAGGTATATCAGCAACTGGGATGCAGTCAAATTATGGTTTTGATGGTCAAATTCATGCTTGCTGGACACATAAAATATCACGAACAGAACTTGAAGTAATCCGCTCTGCTGGATTTCTTATATCAGTCATTCATGGCAGGTATTTACCCCTTGCTAAAAAAACACTCCTCTTATTTATCACCCTTGAGAAATGTTTCTATTTAATAGATCAGCTAGAGGTTTCTTGAATGTGCAGGCAGGACATCATAGCTCAAGTATATTATGCATGGAGACTTGCAGAGAAACTGCAGCCTTTTTCTAGAATGATAGAACTTCATGGAGGGCATCTAGTGAGTCATGAGAGGACTGAAGAGGTACTTGATCCGTTTGTTATTCATGATGATAATAAGTTGGCCATCAAATCACTCAGGGATTATTATGGGACTAAAATAATGCAATTTCTGGGTATTAGTAGGAGTATATTGAGAATAACTTGGAAAAAGAAAAAACAAAGCTTGAGAGGGAGCAAGCAATGGCATCCAGGCAGAAAATAGTTTTGTCATTCTGGAACTTCACAGAAATTCAGGACTTAATTCATATAATTTTTCACAAATTTTCTTGACGTTCACTTTGTGAGGATAATTAATCTACCGTGCTTGACTGGAGAGATTTAAAACATCATCACTTTGACATATATTCTAAGATGCAAACAACAAGATGTAGATGCTTTTGTATACAAATGCGGAACATTTGAAGATTTAGACATTGGAAACCGAATGAGGAGTTGTAAATATATTATCATGGACCCAGTGTCATAATACAGATGTAAGATTTTCTGCTAGTGATTGGCATGCCTTACAACGTTAGTGACTTGGACATAACTAACCAACACAAGAACACATAATTTATATATATATATATATATATATATATATATATATATATATATATATATAAATTAGTGGGCATAATGTCATATAATGGCTACTTTTATCATTTTTTGAATAAAGGCTCCTTTTAAATTCTTAATACTTTGTACAGTGCAAAGTAAATAGGCCGTTTGTAGTGTTAATCTCGCCCACAGATGGTGCTAGAATGGAAGAACGTGATAGACCTTTTCATGAAAAATATCAAAATGTTTAAAGGGAAATAATATAAACAAATAGACAACAAGGACATCAAGTTCAAATTTATATAATGTCAAAGTACTCAGACTACCCAGCTTGCTCCCCCTCATTCCAAGATTAATTTATGTATTTTTCTGTTAATATTAAAATGATGTCAGTTTCTATACACTTTCAATTAAGGATTGTAACTTGTAATAGCTCCTCTCACTTCAACCTTCTACAGCTGAGCTTTTGTAACATATAAATCAAACTATAACATATTAGACAAATCAAAAAAAAGATCAGCATTGGATAGTTAAACTTGTGGCACTGATACTCTTATGTTGACATCATTGCAAAACTTCAGGTCAATCAAGCTATTCTTGAGTTGATCAAGGCATCAGAACAGAAGATAAGCCCACATGAATGGACAAATTTGCCCAGCAAAAGCTCCGGTAAGTTTAGACACATGTCAGACGATTTGTTCTTCCCTATTCATGTGCACTATAGTAGGCAGGTTTAATGCCATTACTTCTGCAATCCGTTAAATGACCAATAGCATGAAGCCTCCAGAACTTCATATTCTTTTTTCCTTTTCTATTTTACTTGGCTGGGTGTTGGTAGAAAGTCATATGGTATCACAACCTTGAAGGGTTCCTTTGACTACAATCCTACAGCAACCCACCTTCCAGTTAGAATTGTGGATGCCTAATCAGCCTACCAAAAGAGGCTTCAATCATGATGTGTTACTTATGGTTAATGAACATTTGGATTCAGCAGGCCTTTTTTCATAATATTCACCTGAATGTAACTGCCAAGTCTAACCCTAGAGTATGACATCCTGTAAGGAATCCAGGCCACTGACTTGCAAGCCTGTTTATTGAGGGAAGACTGTAAGGAGACTTTTTGTGCCGAGTGATTTTGAATAGAATAGATGAGAGTAACAGTCTAACAGTGTGATTGATCAAGAGAATCCTGCTATATCCAGCATATATCCTATTGAAACTATTGAATTCTATTCTCCAAATGTATACTCCATGCTTAAGATTATTTCCAAAGAATCACTTTTATGTGCTAATATCTGCTGTTCTTTTGTCAGGGTGGGTAATTACACGGACATCATTTACCGGAACAAATTCTGAGGGAGGAAGCGTTCTATCTTTCATGGCTGTCATTTTAACAAAGCTACATCTATTCCTATTATATCTCCTTGGGCTCTTTGCGTTAGCATTTGAGTATGCACGAAGAGCTTTAAGAAGTATAAAACCAGTAAGAGTTGGAGCTACACTAACTTTAGCATAAGCTAATATTGACAAAGCCTCTTTGTCTACTGGTAATTCAACCTACTATCCTTTCCTACTTTATTATGTTTACTTGTGTTTGAGGACATATTTACTTGGAATAAGAGGAATCTAACCACATGTATCCCTTCTCTTTGCAGGGTATTTTTTAAAATTGTGACCCCAGTAATGTGGCTCTTTCTTGATATAAGCAGTCCGCTTTCTAATATAACCTTCAAGTGTGTATCAAGCAATGAATACACAGGATCGATACAACTAGTTTTGATGACAAGATGGTCATATATGTGGTGATACAGCTTCTTTGATGCAATTGAGGCATGAAAGGACAAAGCACAGCAAAATTTTAAGGAGGATACTCTTGCCCTTTTAGTTGCATCTGTTCAATGTCAACTAAGTGTGGTCCAATACGCGTTTTTTCACTGTACTTGCATCCTTGTATTTATGAAAAGGTCAAAGATTACTTTTGTTCACAAAATGTTGTGCTCCCTGAAATAGGGAGAGAATGTTTGGTATATTGATGCAGTGTGCAATTACAAGAGATCTTAAATAATTTGAGATGAATGTTTGATGAGAAATGTTCTACTTTTACCAACCACTCAATTATTAATCCAATAATAAGTTGATTAAATGGAGCGCAGAGAGTGTTGAATCCCAGTTTCTGGACCAACTTTCAATGGTTCGTATGTTCATGTTCATGTAGATATGCATGTGGATTATTTCTTTTTCAATTTTCAATGGTTCATATGTTCATGTTCTATACAACTCTGTCTTTTTCAAATGGATTCGTAAAAGATTACAGACCATATGGCTAGGTGAGACGCACAAGATCACAGTTTGTGTAGTAAAGCAGTAACTGTTGCATACCAGATTTGATTTGGCTGAACTGATCACGTCCTGAGTCTAAGATACAGATCTAACTGGTAATACCAGCCAAAAGAGTGACTATGTACCAGCTAATACTCATTATAAGCATCTTCCAATTATGTTTTCTAGCTGCATCTCTTTCTATTAAGCAAGAAGCTAGCTTTTGCACAAAATTTGCCTGCTCAGAGAATATTTCCAAACAGTGAAAACATAGTAATAAAAAAGTGATCATAAATAACTAAAGCACAACAAAGACGTGTGTGTGTGTGTGGGGGGGGGGGGGGGGGGGGGGGGGGGGAGACAGAGAGTTACCTGGTAAGTGGTAAGCAACATCCATGGGAATTTGTGGTGGTGAAGGTGAGACGGAAAGGCTGAGAGAGAAACTTTAAAAAATGGTTTAGAGAGAGAGAGAGAGGAGAAAGGCTTCCCCGTATTAATGATATACACTTGGACCTGTGAGTAATATACCAGAGGAATATACTAATATGCCCACACCCTACGCTACGCAAGAATTTAAGCCTAACAAGCAATATGAATAAATAAACACAGAATCATTATCAGGTTATTAGGGCATGGTAATAAATATATTTGTAAAGAGAATGAATTGTTGGATGTGATTATTCCACAACTTAGAATACATGATAAAAGAATACGAGTCACTTACATCAACATTAGGTAAAATATGAGGACTATGAAAATAAGCATCCTTCTTCATGAGTCGCATCAAGGTTGGTAAACGGTGCCTAAAAAAATTTTGGTTTCATTCTGCTTGGCTGCTTGGAGTCTATAGAAAGGTCAAGGTTCATTCCATGCATTATATTATACATGGTCCACTATCTTTGGTCAAATACATGCGCGCGCGTGCAGATATGGTTGGTGGATTTAGTGAAGAAAGAAAAAAGATGAAGAAATTTGAAGAAGCATTGATGCCATATGGTTTGTAGGAATGAAATGTTCATTTTAATTATTTCTTTATTTGGTATGTAATTTAAAATGAAAATGACTATTTTATAGGAATGTGAAGATACAAGAAATTCCTTCCCTCTTTGTCTCTCTAGAATTCTTGGATTTTAACCAAAAAATATCTCCCATTTCTTTCCATTATTTCTCCTATTTATGGATATTTACAAATGTTGATGGACTGCTGGATCTAGGCCCGCTCCTCCATGAGTCCTGGTCATCTTTGATGGGCTTATTCGCGTTCGGCCCATATGACAGTGTCTTTCTATGGGCCTGACCCATCTGTACGGACCGAATGTCGCGTTTGCAAGTCATATCCGGCCCATGTCATCTCGGGCCTCCTCAACTGCCCCCATAATTACCCCTTATTTAATAAGGGGGTAATTATTGAAGGCGTCTCATCATGACGTTGACGGCTCGAGAAACCCACATGGGGGAACGGACGGTCAGATCCAGAATCAATGTTCCGGGGCTCGATGAATTTCTCGCCTTCCTGACGCTTCGGCCCTCGGGTCCCCCTCGCCTTTATAAGGCTCTAGAATACCACTTCATGCCTTTTTACCGTCTCCATCATCAGTCAAATCTCTCTCTTTTTAGAACAGTGCTAAGCTTTTTCCGGTGAAATCCTTCAAGAGTCATTCTTCCAGCGGTCTTGCAGTGCTCTTTGTTGCTTTCTACCTCCGAGGTTAGTTTTGTTCCTTTTTACTTTCGGCAGGCTTCTTTTTACCCTTTTAGATCCTTCAAACACTTCCACCATGGTTGTAGATCTAGATGTTCTTCGTATGAGACTTAGACTTCCTGACAACATCCAAGTTAGGGTTTGCCCTAAGGATGTTAATATTATGACCGGTGCCGGCCTCCTTTCCGGCGAAGTTTTATTTTCAAACCTTCAACTGAATGTCGTTAGGTTCCTTCTGCACCCCTTCTTTAATTATGTCTTCAATAGACTGGGGATATCCCCCCTTCAGGTAAACCCCAATTTCTTTAGAATCATATCCGTTATGCTACTGTTGATTCGTGACAGAAGTCTGGACCTTGACCTCATAGATCTTCTTCTGTGTTATAAGGTCAGTAAAATCCGAACTAACGAGCCCTTCTACCACCTCTACCCGATCGACAAGATGTCCATATGTACGGACACAATCAAATCTGAAAAGGGTTGGAGGGATAACATCGTGGGCATTAGTGGGGCTTGGTCTTCGCCGGCTGCAGAGGATTACCCAATCCCGAGTGCCTTTGGCGTCTGTTCTGTTTCCTCATATAAGAAATTCAAATCTCACAAAAACGATTGTCCCTGCGAAACATGTGTTCCTCGCTTTTGTACTTTCTTATGCCGCTCCTTAGGAATACCTTGTGATGACTTGAGCTACAGTGTTTGCAGGGATAGGAGTAATTACTTGAAGAAATACGTTCTGAACGATATTCCTTCCTGCTCAGACCTCCTCACTTCAGACAACCTTTTAGCGCTCTCATCCCTCGGCTATACCATGAGCAGGCTTCAGATTCCATCCTTTGGCAGGAAGAAAAATACTCCCCCAGCCACTTCTGCTGCTGGGGCAACCTCCTCTCCTACATCAGCCTCTTCCTCAGCCACCATCTCTGACACCATCCCGAGCACGGTGGCTATTGATTCTGTTGTCAGCACCCCTGCTACCAACCCGAGCGCGTCTCCACAAATCACTACAGCCCCTGCTGCCGCTGGGGGCGCTCGGGACAAAGAACGAGGCAAAAGGCCTTATCCTGACAGTGGAGTCGACCCTGAGGAGGAACCTCTTATAAGAAGGACCCGGGTCTCTGGGCCGGGTGCTCTCTTGCACCGCCCAGTCAGAGCTCCTGCCCCCTCCGGGCCTGTTGCAGCTGGTGCTTCTGCTTCTGCTTCAGCCTCCCCTTCTCTTCCCACTTTACCACCATGGGCTCCTCGGTACACCCGAACGGATGGGACGTTTGTGAAGCCGAACGAAACCATGCTAAAGGATGGCCAAACCGCCATGGCGTATTATAGGAGCATGTGGACTCCGAAAGACCTTGAGGCGTCGAAAGGTCTATCTCAGAAGGATGTGTTCAGCCGCTTTCCCCAATCTGCCATGGAGGTGACTTTTATTTTCTAACTCATGAATCCTCTCATATTATTTGATCTTGCCTTCGTCCGACCAGACTATCAGTTTAACCATTATTAATGTATATCTATGCAGACTTTGTTCGGAATGATGGCTATGCAGAAGCAGGTTGAAATGGGGAACGCCAGGGCTCGTAAGTTTTCTGATAGCCTGGAGGTGGCCAATAAGGAAAACGACCTTCTCGCCAGCAAGAATACCGAGGTATTGGCTCGGCTTGAAAAAACCGAACAAGAAAGAAATGTCTTGAAGAGGGAAAGCGACTCTCTTCAGGATGAGAAGGATGCCCTCCAGCTTGAAAAGAGTGTCTGGCAGACTGAACGTGATTCAATCAGAGACGAAAAGGCAGAGCTCCAGCGCCTTCTGGCTGATGAACAGTCTGCTCGGATGGCTTTTGAGAAGAGAGCTCTGGACGAGCGTACTGCTCTGATTGATACCATCAGCAGAGTGAACGGTGGGATGCTGGCTCTTCATGCTCGGTTCTCAAAGGTCGGCGCTCTTAGATATGCTCAAGGATTCCGAGAAGGTTTCTCCGACCGAGTTCCGGATGAGGGACAGACCAGCTCAACTCCAGATGAGGTCGATAAGGATTTAGGGATTGACCCTCTGGGGTCTATGTTGACCCAGAACCCACCGAAGCGGAGCACATATTTGATGAATGCCAGGACATTGCTTCCTCTAGGATCACTACAGCTCCTCCTACCGCTCTGCCTCTAACCGCTCCTCAATCGTCAACTGTGGTATCTCCCATAGCCACTGCTGACGTTGGCCCCCAGCAGAATGACTCTGTTATTCATCTTGATTCCCCACCTCGTGAGGGTGAGATGGCTGATGGGACTGAAGAGGCAGACCGGCATAACCAGGAGGCTGTCGGTACTGGGGCAGCTAGCTAGGACTCCTCCGGACTCTCCGATTCTATTCTTTTTTGTAACAATGTGACTTGAATACTTCATTTTTTTTTTTGTAAATCCAATGCTTATCATGAATGAGATGACAGAACTCTTTTTCTCTTTTTCCTTTGTGTTACGCTCTGTTCAAACCCATTTTCAATATATATATACCTTTTCTCTTCTTTTTTTTGTATTAACTTTGTCGCGTGCTTGTTTATGGCAAGTGCTTGGCGTTCGGCTTGTGGTGCCAGCTGCTACTTATCTTGCTTAAGTGCCTGGCGCTCGGCTAGAATGCCACTTGCCACTTGGCTTTCCATTTTTTTTTAGCAAGTGCCTGGCGTTCGGCTTATGGTGCCAGCTGCCACTTATCTTGCTTAAGTGCCTGGCGCTCGGCTAGAATGCCACTTGCCACTTGGCTTTTCATTTTTTAGCAAGTGTCTGGCGTTCGGCTTATGATGCCAGCTGCCACTTATCTTGCTTAAGTGTCTGGCGCTCTGCTAGAATGCCACTTGCCACTTGGCTTTTCATTTTTTAGCAAGTGTCTGGCGTTCGGCTTATGGTGCCAGCTGCCACTTATCTTGCTTAAGTGCCTGGCGCTCAGCTAGAATGCCACTTGCCACTTGGCTTTTCATTTTTTAGCAAGTGTCTGGCGTTCGGCTTATGGTGCCAGCTGCCACTTATCTTGCTTAAGTGCTTGGCGCTCGGTTAGAATGGCACTTGCCACTTGGCTTTTCATTTTTTAGCAAGTGTCTGGCGTTCGGCTAATGGTGCCAGCTGCCACTTGGCTTTCTCTGGCGTTCGGCTAATGATGCCAGCTGCCACTTATCTTGCTTAAGTGCCTGGCGTTCGGCTAGAATGCCACTTGCCACTTGGCTTTTCATTTTTTAGCAAGTGTCTGGCGTTCGGCTAATGGTGCCAGCTGCCACTTATCTTGCTTAAGTGTCTGGCGCTCGGCTAGAATACCACTTGCCACTTGGCTTTTCATTTTTTATTTTTATTTTTAGCAACCCATTGAAGAGGAAAGTTATTTTTATAAATTTCAGGAATTTGCACATTCATACGTACTTGATTGACAACAAACAACACCCAATAAAGCCGAAACTTAGCTTTTATTGGTAGTACCTCTTCAGAGACGTGGCATTCCAGGGCTTGCTGACCAACCTTCCCGCCATGGTTTCTAATGTATATGCTCCCTTGCCTATGACTTCTGCAATTCTGTATGGGCCTTCCCAGGGTGGCATCATTTTTTTGACTATCCCCACCTTTCTTTTCAGAACCAGATCGCCAGGGGCAAAATCTCTGTGTTTCACTCTTTTGTTGTGACTATTCGCCAATACTTGCTGGTATGATGCTAACCTTATTGCTGCAGCGTCCCTCCTTTCGTCTATCATATCGAGGTTCAATCTTAACATCTTGTCGTTCTGATCTCGACTCCATGCTAAGCTTCTGATAGTTGGGACCAAGTGCTCAACCGGTATAACTGCCTCGGTACCATATGCCATTGCAAACGGGCTCTCCCCAGTCGGCCTCCTTGGGGTGGTTCTATAAGCCCATAGGACGTTCGGGAGCTCATCCAACCACTTCCCTTTATGGTCCTCCAGCTTCTTCTTAATGCAGGCGAAAA